GAAAAAAAGCCCATTTGTAAGTATGTCGGGTTCGAATGCAGGGCTGCTGGATTCGAACCCGGGACCTTCACCTTACAGTGATGAGCGCCGTGTCAAAAACTAAACCTTGCGGCCACCGACGCCCCCAAAAGAAGAATTTAAACGATAAATGTATTTTTCTCATTGTCTTGCTGAGACGAGGCGATTTAATCTAAAATGGCTTTCCGTTGATTGCCAGTCTCATATCAACGCAGTTTAAGGATAAACGTAGGACGTCTGTGGCCACAATGGTGAGCTTTTTCTCTACACCTACAACCTTACGCTCAAATTTTAGCAAGAAAGAAGACCCAGAAAGTCTAAACCGCTGAAGAAGAATTATCCATACGAGGTTGACACACTACCGCTTAATTTTGGACCTATATAAATCAACCAAACCTAATAAACAGATACCCAAGGAAGTATCAAGGAATCTTCCTATCGTCTACTCCATTTACACCCATGACAGCCTTCCATACAACATTTATGTCTTCCTCCTGATAATACAGCTAACCTTTTCAACTATTCAGATCCTCGTCTCCTACAAAGGCCCTAAAATTTATATTTACGTTCTGTAAGAGTAGTAAAAATCGTGGAAGATAGTATACAAGCTAAAACAAAAGAAAACATTTAAGTTTTACATTTCGACGAATCACACTACCTCTCCATAGCAACCTCTCTCAACTGTACAAACGTTACCATGGACTATTTATGGAGAGGAGACTGACCTGGAACTCCATACTACGCTAAAAAGACTGGAAGTAAAACGTCGATAATAACTATCCAAATTGCACGACAGATGATCTTAAGTATATTTGGTTAACAAGCGTCTCAAGTACAATACGTAATTAAAGCAACAAATAATAAATAATAAAGAAAAACAGATCATCTCTAGACACCTTTTCAACACAATTTTGTTCATTTTTAATTTAACAAATTTTCCAAAAGGTTTCTATTATCATAACACTTAATCGGTTTAAAAATTAAATATTAATTAAATGGGTTTAGTGTTTTTGTTCCCTTTGAAAGAAGCAAGCTAATATTGTTTATGTAATGTTGATTAATGAATTCGTTGAGCACAATAAATAATAACAAAACGGATTTTTTTTCAAACAGAACAAAGGAATTATTGGTTGATTTATTTCCACAACAGTCCTTTCTTGTTTTACCTTAATACTGGCAGAGAGAGAAAAAATTAATGAAGAATTGATCTCCATGTTCTAATTTTAAATGCTTTCACGAAAATTATATATACCAGGAACGACTTCATGCCAATTTTTGCTATAAGAATAAATATAAATTGTCAAAAATTTAAATCGTTGATCAAATTCCAAAATTATCGCACTATATTGCATTGCAATTGAGGTTAATTAAACGACTACTATAATAAAACGTAAAAAGTGCGCAATAAAAACACAATTGTAAATTACAAAAGATGGCATGGCATTGCTGATGGACGGAGCTGAGATAGGCTCAACTCTGCACATGTGTGTAATAAATCCAAATCCAAAAAGGCGATTTTTCAATTTTTATTTAAACATTTAAAAACACAATTGCTAACTAATTCACTTTTAAATTTGAATAATATGCCATAATTATATGAAGTGTGATATCCTCAACTGTCATCAATTATGCTAGCAGATTTAAAAATCATGTATTGGAAAGTTATAATTATACTTTTTTTAATTAGCTTCCCTTGGCTTGGTTGAATAATATTACATATATTGTCAAATAATTGATAAATTATTAATATAAAGTTTAAACATGAACTTGGGTGTTCTGCGATAATGAGCTGTTGAAATGAGAAAGATCTGTTCGTTTTATTTTTGATTATACTATTAAATTTAACAACTTGATAACTGATTCTTCTCAAAGGAGTTCATTTTAAAGTTGAAAGTTTGAGACATTTTTCATTATTAACACAACACGTAAAGGGCTAAGGTCACGGGATTCTTATTAATTTTGAAAACTCTCTCACTCTATATTGATTAATTTTTGATGATACGATTCAAAAAAGGGGTGAGAAAAGAATTACGACTATTCGAAATCGATTAGTTTTCAAGGGTTGTAGTCTAGCGATCTGGGACCGTTTGATTCCCCTTTTATCAGGTGTTTACGATCTATCAACTTCTAAGTTGACCTAGTTCAACGCAATAAAAAAAAAGTACTGAGGATCTCTACAAAAACAGAAACGTCCTCTCCAACAACTTCAAGAAGAACGTTTTGATGTATTGTTTGTCATTTCTTCAAAGTGTCTACTTAGCAATTATTCAATAAGAATTTAAAAAATTGCAGACGGGTTAATATTTTTTTCAAAGCGAAAGGTGGAGAAAATCCAAAATAAATCATTAATTAACACCTCAATTTTTGAATTGAGGAATAGGACAATTTTTCTCAACATGATCTATGATCAATGAGGCCCGACTCAACAGCAACAGGGCAAAAGCATATTTAATCCAAACAAAAAAATGCAACCATTCTTAATAAACCGATTAGTCAATAAATTCTGAATTATTGAAGCCATCATGACTTTTGACTTACACTCGTATATACAAGTATAATCCAGAGGCGAGGTGGTTCGAGTGGAGGCGGTCGTTGTACTGAGGGTGGATCAGGCGAACTACCGCCTCCGGGGGATGGGCGCCGCCCCTCGGCATCCCCTGTGCCACGACACTGGGCTGCAGCGGTTGCAACAGGTCCTCGTAGGGGGTAGGGGTCGACATCCTCTTTTTATCGCCAATATGAAAACATCGCCCTTTGATTATATTCAACTGTCTTCTTTTATATTATCAGCTCTTAGTACCAAAGGGATGTTTTGCTTTATGCTATGTACATAAATTCGGCTCATGTCATATCTGAATACTTACTTTTTAAGGAAAAATTTATATTTCATGTATAAAATTTGGGATGGACGAACGTGAACATTCTTAGATGTACTTTGGTGAATTCCGAACTAACATGGTTAGCATATCTCGCCGGTTTGTTATAGTCTTGTTTCGGCATGAGCCATCTTTAATGGTGAATTTGTACAACAAGGAAGTCGAAGGAGTACTAAGAATAGAAGAAAATAGTAAACGACCTCAAAATACTATTATCATGCAACTCAAACCATATCTAGATGAGCTCGTACAGAAGTTTGGTTGTAAACAAGGGGAAAGAACAGAAGACCATGACATGTTTGATGTTAATGTATCCGAAGAAAAAACGTTCCATGGTTTAGGTGGTCTATTCTCATCGAAGCAGACCATTCCTCACTTAAGATGACGTGAAGCCGAAACAAATATGAGTGAAACATAAATTACCGAGAATAAATGGACTCAGTTAAGTGAACAATAAAATGATCGGATTGCTTCATTCTTGGAGTGCTTTATTCAATTAAACGCAGCGACAGTTAAGTTAATTTTAACTTTTAAGCTTAGGTTAAATTTGCATTTTACATGGCGAAACACTCTTTTTCTATCACACTAGATTTCACAATCTTTAAGCTATTATAGTGTTTCTTCAGCAACTTGCGTAACTTTTGTTGAGTGTTACTGCAAAACTTTTTAAACACCATAGTTGTGTCGTTCGTCAGGCAAAAAGATCACCTGGACACATTCGAAACGGGCGAAATTAAACGCAGCGACACCCGGCTTTGGTGAAAGAACATACTTCGTTTAAAGATGTCTACTAAATTGGCTTTTTTTTCAAAAGGACCGGCACCCCGAGGGTGATATGATCTCTACTCATTCGAACCCTCATAAAAAATAAATAATAAATAAATAAATCATAAGTCTACTACTTGTTACTCCAAAATTGGCATTTACGTTTTTTTAAACAAATGAAAATTGAAATCGAAAACAAGAGAGCAGCTCGAACAACTTGCATTCAATTCGAATCCTAAATAAAATTTGTCCATTTTTGAAAACAAATGGAACAATTGTATGTAATTTACATAGTTTCAACCCGTCTGATTCTTCCTAACTTATTACAATTAGGTTTTATCAATTACTTGAGAGAACAATTTAATTCACTACAATTTTGTGATGATCGTTCTGAAGAAAGGGATCTGCACATTGGAAGCGAGGGGACGATCATCACAAAAGTGTAGTGAATTAAATTGTTCTCTCAAGTAATTGATAAAACCTAAGATAAACCAGATCCACCTTCACACTTTTATTGTTAATTTTTCATTTTATCCATGTATTCTTTTAATGAAGACAAGCTAGTCCAGACCATGCTGTTGACTCGCATACCAATCAACAGTTCACTGGGGTGCATATATTTCCTTTTAAATCAATAACAGAAATCAAAAGATGTCAATAGTGATTGGCAGACTTAAACCCTCTTTCGGTTATATTGAAAAGAAATGGATTTGATACGCGAACAGAATACTGTTGTCAAACAACCAAGAAACCACCAGTTCGATACTTAAGTTAGGTACTTGATTAACTTTTAGAACAATCCCTCCCTATATTGGCAATCATGCATGAGATCATAATGTGAAGGGGAATGCTGAACGCTGTATACTTTATTTCGACGGACTTTCTGGAAGAATTGCTACGAAAAAGGGCCGAGATGAAGATTTTATCACCCCAGTTTTTTTATTCCGACAAATTATAACAATCATAATTTCTCTTCATTACTTTCCAACAGGTAAGATTTATTAGGCTTTTTAAAAAATCTTCTGCATATCAGTTAAATTAAAGACTCTGTTCACTTTCCACTCTCCATCTCCCTAATTAAAATTCCCATTTTCATTTGAAGACCCCCCCACCAACATTTATCATATTAATATAAATAATAAATTATTTTTTCGTTAAAATAAAGAAGAGCAACACGGATGTCCGTTAATGATTACACTTACTTATATTGATTTGACACGTTTCACAAGCCATTAAAATTAATTTGGGTGTTTTTACAAAATTTACGCACAAAAAATCACGAATTGCCTAACTACATGTTAACGTGATAGCAGAATTGTCATGAAATGTTGAAAGACTCACGTGAAAACTGTTGCAGAGGATGGGTCGCGTCCTCCCTTGGCAGCAAAGGAAGATCTGAAATAAAAATACAAAACAATGTTCAACATTTGAGCCTTGAAGCACGGACGTTTACAGCTGAATAATTAATTACACAAAATAAATATTATGACAACAGGAAAATAAAAGCCCGTAGTGACACTCTGATGTAAATATGTAAATATAAACACTCGCTTCACTCACTAACAATTTTGATGAGATCGCAGAACCCCAGCCTTATTAGTAGAATTAATTAAGGTTTTTAGTTGAGATAAATTGAAGATAATTGAAAGATATTGATTGGTCAAGCGGACCACGAAAACTAGTGAACTTATTATTAGATTTTCAGAAAATAAAGCTGGATCATTGATTTGGAATTTATTAAATCTGAACATTATGACGTAAGAAACGCAAGGGATTTTGATGTCATGGTGAAAAGTGAGATTTGACACAGAAAACGTATATGTTTGTCGATCCGGAGCATTTTGGTCTGCCTATGCTTGCTGTTTTGGTATGTCACATGATGTCACCTGCGATGCTGGGGTCTCATATCTGCAAGATGGTGAGAAACCAAAACATTATCTTACAGATCAAAACTGCACGGATAATGCTCAGAAGCGATTAAACTACAGGTTCATCAACCCGCATACTTCAAAAGGAAATTACACGACAGAAAGAATTTGTACTGTCTAGGAACTAAGTGTTGAATTTTTGGCTGAACCCTATAAATTCCATGCAGCAAGCCCACATTGGCTTGAGATTTGTTTTTGTTTAGATCGTCTGTCTAAAGTAGAGAGACGTTTCCATCGAGTATTTATTATTTTTTCTGTCTAGGATTCCAAGAGAACGACATTCGATGTATTTCTTAACTTGTATTTATTTAATCCTCTGTATTTTTTATTTATTTAATCCTTTAAAATAATTTAATTATATTCATTCACTTCTTAAGTGGCAACGTGAGACTGTAAGGAATGAACAGCAATAACGGTATCATTGTGAGTGATAGGATTGGCGTGTCTTCTGCAATAAGAACAGTCATATATTTAGATGATTACTTATATCAGCGGTATATTAAGTAAAAGATATGAGCTAGAGCACTGTCTTGAACGACTGACCACTGCGTGGAAAGGATATACGAAACGGAACCGTACATTGTCCAGAAATAATCAAGTTAGGACTTTAGAATGAGGTAATAGGTCCAGGAGGCCTGTGGATCATAGATCATCCCAGATTCGATCGAGTGGTTGCCCATTGTAAAGAAAGATAGCCCCGCAATACTTTTTCTCAAATTGAAGGCGATAAAATGTAAAGGTAAAATTGTTGATCTATTGTTGGTGAAGATAATCAAACATTTTTTCGAGGGCTTTTCCTATCAAAGACGATAGAAGGAGGCCGACGCTGTATAATGGTTTGGGTAGGTTTCTTGATGCAAATTTCCGTAGGACTGGGAAAACGTAGTGATTGATTGGCAACCTGAAGCTGGCCAGTGAGTTACAAAAACAGGGGAGAACAATAGATCTACTCAGGTCGAGGTGCAGGCCTTCTGGCCGCCTCTTTTATCCCTATACATAGAACGACGTTTTACAGACATTTGCAGTTTATTAAGCATTATTACTTTAGTTATTTCAAAAGATTTGAACATTTAAAATGATAAACAACGACATAAAAAGGTAAAAGGTCGTTTGATAAGCATTAATCTGTATTTTGTATAAAACAACCAAGAATAAAAAGAAAATAAATACTGTACGTTCAAACAAGAAATATTCTTGATTTTAAAACAACAATGTAAATATCATGAACGTTTACTAACTTAACAAAAAAGGGAAAAGTCTTGGAGATGTGAGAGGTTGATTGTACCAACCCTCCCCATTTGAATTCGGAAATTAGCTTATGCTGTTGGAGGCTTGTTTTAACAGACCAGACTTAAATGAGTCTTAAAATCTAAAGACGCAAATTGATTCAATTTCCTTGACAGGACGACAATTGTTTTCATCATGCTGATTTATTCTACAGCCGTCAAGAGATGCACTTTTTTGTGAAAATTTCAAGGTGGATTTACTACATTCGTAGGCAAATTATACCTGGTACAAAGTGAAACGTCGGACCTTTTTTCTTTTCAATATATTTGTGCAATGGGGTGATTCGGTAATTGATAAAGACACCTACCTCTATAAACTCAGTTATTTAAAATAAACCACAATTTGCTTCTTTTTTCGGGTTAAATTTCCGTTCAAACGAGGGCGATTTTCTGGGTTACAATCGTATATTGATTGGGCATCGGAGGAGTGACATGTTTATCAGTTAAATTTCAATGCTTCGCACCCCCTCGCTCTTCATATACCTGTCAGCGGCAGCCCGACTTTATCGTGAAGAGTGATCTTGAACAGAGCTCGAATGCCAATCATAGAGAATCGAGTTATACTTTAAAAAAAAAGTCAATCGAGAGAGAAAAATAGGGAGAGAGAGTGTGAGAGGAAGAGAGAGCGGAGAAGAGAGAGAGAGAGAGAGAGAGAGAGAAAAAGAGAGAGAGAGAGAGAGAGAGAGAGAGAGAGAGAGAGAGAGAGAGAGAAAGAGAGAGATAGAGAGAGTGAGAGAAGGGAGAAAAGAGAGAGAAGAGAGAAAGAGGTGTTTGTGTATGTTCGTGTTATAAGAGAGGTTTTCTCCTGTGGTGGAGTATATAGAGCTTTCCCACGAGGAGGAAACGCACTGACAAACCACTGGAGTGGGAAATGACACGCAAAAACTGCAAGAAAGGCAAACCGAAATAACCGGAAACGACTCACGTTCCCCGCAAACCTTAGATGAAATCCCAATCAATAAAACCTACTAAATATTTCGAAAGAAAACTAAATTTTACACAAATATTTTCTATCAATTACATTTAACCTAGTCCAAAGTTTATTTCATATTTAAATAACTTAAATTACGAAAATAAAAGATTTAATATACATTTTGTGCATAACACACCCCAATTCACAGTTTTTGTATCAAAGATTGCCAAAAATTAAAATAAAATAAAAACGAAAAATATGTTTTAAGGGTGACTGTCTGTTTTCCAAGATGGATAAGAGTAAGAAATAGTAGAAAGCTTATAATATAATGAAAATGCTTTAAATTCAATTCAATCTGACCTGAAGTTGAACTTTAAAAGGTTCAATTACAAGACAATTGTTTACTTTCTAAGTTCATGATTGTCACATTAATATTTGTACACATAATATTATTAATGCAAAATTCATTTTTGTTGTTAAATATGTGTTTTTTAGTGACCGTTTGTTTAATAATTTGTTGAATTCGTGAGGAGCAGTCAAGAACCGAAAAATTCTTAGCAGCTCCTCACGAATCCAACACACTATTTGTGAAATATATTATTTTCAATTAAAAACTCTTATTTACTTGATTTTTTCCTTTAAGATTAAGGGTGTAAAATTTGTCAGCAGTTTTTTCCCCAAAAGTCAAATATTTGTCAACATTATTCCACAAGTCAATGATAGTGGGGAAAAAACTATGTATATGCTGAATTTTTACATTAGGGTCTCCAAACAACACTGGCCCAAATTGGGCTTTTTCTGAATAGAAATATTAACCCACAAAAGGAAAAATTAACCAATCAATGATAACCGCTATAACAATCTGATTGATATTAACATATAATGTTACAAATACATTCAGTAACCATGGGAATTTATTTAATTATTATTTAATCACAATTCACGCATTACCACGTTTATATTACAAAGAATATTAATAAAATAAGTATATTTTTAATCATCTTAACAACAAAGAATGGTATACATTGGGTAATGACAACATATGTCTTTAAAACTAACTAGTTATCCCAGGCACTGAAGTCAAAAAGAAAAATTGTAATTACTTTTTAAAATATAATTGGAAATTTTTGTGGTCCATTTAAATTGCATCGTTCATTGTTTCATAATGAAAATTAAAAGACTCTAAATTATATTAATTAATCAAACATTAATATAATAAAAGATATTTTATCAGTTTTGAAAAATCATTCAATCTTTATCTGAAATTTTGCATACTTTTTCATCATTGACAAAATGATTCACATAGTAAATATATTTAAAAAATATGGTCAACAGAGAGGCAAATGTAAAATTAAACATAATTTACCATTGAAGAAAACTCAAGCTATATTGTTTTATACACCATTGCTTTTTGTTTAATTGTTGTTGCATATACCTGGCCAAACTGAATGGTGAAATGACAATGAATAGGAAACAAGAAAGGCTTACAAACAAGGCAATGAGAAACACACAGTTAACTTGAAAGGTCAAAGGTGACATCAAGAATATTCCTGTGAAAACCCGTGTTTTAAATTACAGAAACAAAATTCCTTGTAGGCTCAAGAAGAAAAGTAAACAAAATAACAAACCTACAATACAAAATTTCTTCAATTTATTATTTTTATTTATTGATTTTTTTATAAGTACTTTTTACAATAATATATTCGTCATTATCAATCCCACAGCCTTTTTCGCAGGAAGAAAATTGTGATTATTCAGGTAAGCACTTTTTAAATTTTAACAAAACAATAATGAAAACAAGTGCTGATAAAATTAATCAAACTATCAAATAAGCAAAATACATTAGAGTTTAAAGAAAGGTTTGGCTGTAATACTTACAGTTACAGTTTACAAAGTAATAATTACTTTGTAAACAGGGTATTCGGTTTACTTTATAAAATTTGCAACAAATCACATAACAATAAATAAATTGGGGTTTTTAAATGAACAATCTCAACTGAAATAAAATGTTAAAAATATTAATTTCAAACTTATCAAATGCAATTACCTGAAATGATCCCATCCATTTGCTGCAACGCAGCGGCCAGGAGACTGCTAGCATCGGACTGTGGACTGTCAATCATAGGCACTTCATTCTGGGCTTTGCCCATTACCACCTACAAAGGACGATCATTAATCATCTGTACACCGCAATGTCATGTACCCAGGCTACGCACAATGGCCAACTTGCTCTTAAGCAAGTCGCGCATGTGGGCAAGAAACAACGAAACATAGAATAAGATGTAGAGAAACGGGCGCAACATCGTAGACTAACAACCATTTTGATATTTTAAAAGACAAAGATAAGGATCTACAAATATCAGATCTTATTATAAACACAGATGTCATTAAACTGTCTTCCCACACAGCTTCTCTTTCAACTTGAATATTATTTATATAATTATACCAATTTTTTTTTCCAACATACCATTAGTGTGAACTTGTACCCTTTGAGTTATTACTATTTATTTTAATTAAGATTTATTCTTTACAAAAAATAATAATAAAATTGTAATAAGTCTTATAATACTACTGACTAGACAATAGGATTCCATAAATTCAACACCCTTTTCCAATAAGACTTTATTCAATAATCAATTTGATTATTATTATTTATGTCCACATAGTATTTTAGAGCAATGACTTATGATAATGTTTAGTATGATTTGAACTGGCCTAAAAAATTAAAAAAAGACAAGTTTGTAAATACTCAAAATTTAATCAAATTCAATAACGAATTTAACTGTTAATATTTCAGCCCATGTGATATATTTACGTTATGAGTAATGGCTTATGATAATGTTTAATGCACATTGGACATGATTTTTGACAAAATGAGTGGCAATGATTAGCAGCCAGTGAGCATTTAAGTAGTCAGCTGGTAATTATTGTGTAAATGTACCGAATGAGTGGTATTTTAAAATTTGAAATGACCTAAAAAAAAGACAAAAGTTTGTTTGTCAATACTCACAATAAAATAAAATTGAATAATCAATTGATGTTATGTTTGAGAATCAATTGATTTATAACTACTTTTCTTTGAGTGTCTTTTGGTAAAACGAGTCAGAATGATTAGCAGCCTGTGAATGATTTGAGCAATTAGCTGACAGATGTTCACCCAGTTGTTGTTTAAATTTATTATTTGGCAAGCATATGACAAGAGATGTTAAAAACTTGTCACAGTGCGCTGTAAAAAATCATCTTGGGGTCTAAAAGACTTATCTAAAAAGTCTAAAAGAACAATTGTTGCAAAATGCAGGTTTTTCCTAATGAAAAATTGAAATTTTTATGCAAAATATTTTAACAGTGCACAGCAGCAAGTTTTTAACATCAATATCAACATCACATCATTGATATGCGACTCATCACTGTAAGGTCAAGGTCCCTAGTTCGAATCCAACGGCCATGTAATCAAACCCGACACACTTACAAATCAGCTTTCTTTCAAAAACACAAGCACCACAAGGGTTCATATAACCTCACAGTTGAAATAATATAAATAAATAATGTACATGATGACGTTCATTTAGAATGCACAGATACGTCCCGTCAACATTACGGATCTGATTTTTTAAATAGACCTTACTTTAAGCATACCATTAACTTTTCTTTAGCTTCTCAACATTTTTTTGTTTTTGAGGTTTGCTTCCAAAATGTCATTTACTTCATCCAAAATCAAACCATTCAACACTAGTATCATTATGTTGAAAATTAGCACGATGACAGACATTAAACTTGATTAATTATTCATTATTATCATTATATTATTATTATTATTATCTAAAGTCTTAGTTCGCGATGAAAAGTTAGTGTCATGAGCAGTGTCTAACCACTTTTTCGAAGTCACGATAGCTCAAGAGGTTAGAGCAGCGGCGTATTGAGCCAAAGGTTGTGGGTTTGAATCCCGCTCGTGACACTAACTTTTTATCTCGACGATGACCTTAGATAAAAAGAATAATTACTTGAAATAATTAATATGGTCAATTGTAACCACTAAACATACATGGATTAAATTTGATGTTGACAGTTCTCTCAGATAATTAACCCATAAAAGGCTTTTCATTAAGTAATAATAATAAATATGAGAGAATTTCAAAGGTTAGGTGGAGCTATAAGAAGGAGGATAATAATGGTGGGAACCACTGGTAGGTTTCACTGACTTTAACAAGATGTCAGTTCATTTTGTTTAATTTAAGAAATGAATAATTCATTTTTCCAAAAAATACACGTTTTTCCATAACAATGCTTCATTTCTACATGAATTTCAAATAATAACATAATACTCCGTACTATTTGAAGGTATATTGAGTACAATATATTCAGCCAGTGGATAATACGCATTATCTTTTTTTCATTTTATTTAATCAACAAAGTCCAAACAAGACCTCAGAATCATTAAATTCCAAACTTTATGAACGCAAGATTTATTCTTTAATGAAAACGCGTTTATGTATGTTAATGCCGTTTTAGAAGAGGATGATTAGATTAAACGACGGGCGTAGGCGGTGTCCTCGAGATAAGACCACGCCCGTCGATTTACGCCTTTCCACGACCGGGTTGCCAACAACCCGTCGTCAAAAACAAAGCTCCATCAAAATAAACAAAAACCGACGGTCATAAACAATTTATTTTGACAAATAAATAAATAAAAATTGTAAAAAACAAAAACATAACCTTACCATTGTCGGGTTATAATACAAAGAAAGTCCGAAACAAAGAGGGAATTCGCTTAAAAACTTACTACCGGCGTGCTTAGAAGGGCGAAAAAGGGTTTGTTCAACAAATGGAAAATAAAGTAAGAAAAATTAAAACAGGAAGGAAAAAGAAAACGTAAAAATAAAGTTAGGGGACAGCGAAAACTATTTTCCTCCCTTTTGTTGACAATCAACAGGTGGGTCTCCAAAGCTTTCTGAATCGTCAATAAAATATGGCAAGAAATAAAAGAAATCAAAAATATTTATTGTGTAGCTTAAAACATTTAATTTCAACTAACAACTGTTTAAATTTAAATTAAATAAACATAAAAGTAAATAATTACTAGAAGCAATGAAATCATTTTAGGTGTGCAACCAATTTTTCAAACTTTTATCGTCTAACAATGAAATAATCAATTACTACCCATTTCTTGCTACAATTTCATATTATTTTTGAAGTAAATATTTAATAATATGTGTATTTATATATTCTTACCATCTAAAAGCCCGGAGTAGTGTTTGTTCAAAAAGAAAGAGGAACTGGCACTTTAAAGTATTTTTTATGAAAAGAATGATTAAGATTTAAACTTCGTTATAATAAAAAGCAGGAAATTAATTTTATTTGTCTAATTTAAATTAAATTTTGCAATGTCGGAAGTCAACACTTTTTTGAAAATAAGGCGGGCTTGATAAACTAGCACCGGTATCACTTATCTATAACAGTCGACAGAACACCGATTGTTTACATACTCATACAGTCCTGCATCTCTTATGTAGTTATGTAACTACTGCCCAATTAAAAAAAAAAAAAAGAAAAAGTGGTTTTTCTGAAGAAACCAATGGGTTTCATCTTCAGCACTTGGTTCTAACAAGTTTTCTCGACTTCTTACAGCCAGGATGAGGTGCATACTAGTGTTCGACCAGGTCAACGATATCGTTTTTTCAAAAAGCGATGAGAAATTCGTCGCCCATGTGGAAAAGTTGGCGAAATACCAGGCAATAGACCGCCAGCGGTACATGGTAACGATGGAATATTTTTTTTAATTAAGTCATACTTTAACTTTACTTAACATACTTTAACTTTACTTAATCCTACTTTAATTTTGTTATCGTGTACAGAAAGAAGATGGAGAACTTGACTTGAACTATATCATGCAGCTCTTCGCACCCATCGTCACATCACAGAGGTTCATGAGCTCCCAGTTTGGCAATTCATACATGTCAATCCAATGCGAAGATGGACTCAACATGGTTTTTGATGAGGTAACTTTTTTTTGTTCAAAAATAAATAAGCTCTAGGTACTCCAGATAATACTGTAAAAAAAGTACTTCCTTGAGTTCAATTACCTTATTTTGAATTATTAAACCCCATTGTTTTCTAATCCAGTCGTAATTAAGTGTTAAACAGTTAAAAAGCAGTATGGTTAGTTTACTCAGTTAAAGTAATCAAAAGTAATTAAAAAGTTAGTAGTTTAGTCATTTACAATTATTTCTGTCTTCCTATTCTTGTTGTCATCATCTGTCAGTTGCATTTGCTTCTTGTCATCTTCAGTGCTGTGTCTGTGATTTCCAAGTCCTTCAAAATTACAAGCTCATCATAAGCCGTAAAGGAGTAATTTACTCTTCTGTGAACTTCAAGTAGACAAGGTCCTTGGAATGCCTGTTGACATCATGATCTCAAAATTCTGAAAAGAATTTCAGATTAAAATATCTGCTAGAGCACTAGACTGGGAGAAAAGGATCTTTGTTAATGCTGACTATATCTGGTATTTAATTGGTCTTGGAGGGGTTCAGGAGGTATCTGTGGAAAAATAAAACTGGAATTCATTTAAGCCTTGGGCAATCTGTCTTTCAGGCTGAAGTTGTGGCTATTCACACTATTCCAAGGAGATTAGAAGAGAGAGAAAAGGCTGGGTATTTCCAACAACAAAAAGAATAGCCATCTACTTGAACAGGAAGGAAACTACCTCGTCAGTACTTTGGTAGTAAAATCCAGAGCTGTTTGGGATTGCATCAAGACTCTGTCAGACATTGGAGAAAACAATAAAATTAACCTTGTTTTGGTGCCAGAGTACGTAGGGCAGAGGGGCAATAAATTGGCTATGGAAAGTTTGATGGGGACATATCAACCCTCAACCCTTTTGTAAGATACAACATCACTAAAATTCTATATCTATCGGACTATGAATTAAGAATAAATACTTGGTTCAATGAGATTGTATTCTAGTACTATCAGCAAAAAAGTTCATCAAAGGACCGTTACAGAGACTATCAGCAGTATTACTAAACCTAGGATGTGTTAGGAGTAGAATGATAGTTGGAGTGTTTACTAGGCAGTGCAGACTCAGAGCAGTAGAAAAAAAAACCTATGCAGATATTGCCAGGAAGTAGTGGAAACAACAGAACATGTCCTCTATTGGTGCGAAGGCCCTATGCATCCTGAGAATCCTATTCCTGGGAGAGTAGAAAAGCTTTGGAAGCTGATAAAAAGCCTTAAGATTAATTAAGAGCTCTAGATAATATTGGAGAATAAGGTCATAAAGATACCAAATACTTCAAACCTTAACTGGTCTTAACCTTTTACAAATCATGAAATTTCTCCATATGGTCTGCAGGGGAAGAATCTCCTAAATTGGTGTGAAGTACCACTTTAAAATGGTACTCTCAAGATAACCAATGTTGATTATTGTTGATGAGGGGTTGTCTGTAAGTCGGTGAACTCATGTTGAATAGGGTCAATTATTGAGTCTGTCTTCATTCACATGTTTGTTGAATTACTAAAACACGTTTTGGCATTGTGCTATCTTCAGTGAGACACAGTTCCATACTGAAGATGATGTGATACCTGAAGAGACAACAACAAAATATCCTCTCCTTCTTGAAATACCCTTTTAAAAAAATCATAGTAATGGATCAGTGATGATCAAACCTGCAGTTAACATCCTTAAGTAAACTGAAAAAATACCAATTTTGATTTATTTGAACATTTTTTTCTATAGAAATAACAAATTTAATTGTTATTTTCAAATTTTTAGCTGAATTGAGGCTTCATATTGTCACAATCACTATAAAAATCTGTATTGTCTTCAGGAATAAACTATTTAAAATATAGTCCCAATAGCTCAAGTGGTTAGAGCAGCGATGTATTGAGCCGAAGGTCATGGGTTCGATTCCCACTTGTGACATTAACTTTTTCATCTCAACCAAGACCTTATATAAAAAGAATAATTAATTGAAATAAGTAATTTGGTCAGTTAGACCACTAAACATAAATGGATTAATATTTAAAATATTTCTTTATGTTTAGTTACTAGCCATTTTCACAGCATCAAGTTCAGTTTATGGTGTGTTGTGTCTGTCGTTATTTATTTTTCATGGTTAAAAATATTTTTCAGTACATGGGATATTTGTTTGTCCACTTTGGGTTTGAGGAGGTACAGTGGCTGAAGCGAATGCTCGGAATATGCATTTCTATAATTCAACATCTCTGCGGACCTGACGTCTCTATGTAATTAACAAATCTTATTTGAAAAGTCTTCACTGTTGACGTTTCCCACGAAAATTCCAGGCTGAAGGAAAACCAAAGCAGAAGCATCCTTGTCATCCGGCTGCTCAACACTTGGGAGAATTTGGCTAGCCATAGCCAAGCCACACTGCTTGAGGCCCTCGAACAAATAACACTTGATGGTAACATAAATGCGCATACTGTCAACGTGATAAAAGAAGCAACAGATAAGATTAAGTCTTCCCTGGACCAGCCCAAGTCACATGCTTTGATTTTCATAGAAAATAAATTTTTCACCCTTTATTCTAGGTACTTTTTATGTTTTTTGCCACTTATGATTCCTTATTATCTTCTACTTTCTGTTAAATCTTCCACTTTAGTCGAAGTGCAAAGGATCTCAGTGCTCGTGATATGCTGTTTCTCAGCCTGTTGGCAAAGTGGCATCAAACTGAAATGGCTAATCGCAAGGCACATTCAAACGAAGAAGAATGTGATATTACAGAATGTGGTGTTAATAACCCACAAAGCCAGAAACTTCCAGAAAGTAATTACTATTTATATAATTTTCAAAATTGCTAAATAAATAAAAATGTTTTAATTTTATAGTTAACAATGGTAAATATGATGATATCCTGCTTCTAAGTGGAAACAACTTCCCGGCAATAAGCCCTTACATTGTTAATGTTTCTCTTATAACAGAGGAGGTCTCACTAATTCTACTCTATGAGGTATAAACTAAACTATTAATGATACTTTATTTTATAAAATTTAGTTGTTTCCAGTTAGTAGTTTGACTTGTTGCTCATCATCAATAGTAGATTATTTAGTACAGTAGTTAAATTAATGAAGATGGCAGATCAAAACTAAGTTGATGCTGGGTAATTTGTCTGCAAGTCGGTGAACTCGCATCCAGCATTTGGTCACTTATTTGTCCGTCTTCACTCACGGATTTATTGAACTACTCAACACATTATCCCGAGTTCCTCACTGAAAATGGTGCAGTGCCAATGATTCAACAAACCTGCAAGTGAAGACGGACCCAATAAGTGATCCAATGCCATTTCAGCATGAGTTTCAAACTGATGGGAAACAACCATAGGTGCATCCTTTTACTTTGTGTTAATTCATGCTTTTTTCTTTTCTTTTTTTAAATTGTTTAACTGGTTCGATAATTATACTATTTTCTATTTAAGTCTCAATATTGCCAATTAAGCCAACACATATATGAGGTGTTTGAAGCCATAAATGTCATCAACTCAGTATCGACCTGCTCAACCGAGCTAGCAAGCATGAAGAGGGGCATGGAGCAACTAGATCCCGCAGTGAAAAAAGTTTTTGACAGCATAAAAAAACTCAAGCAGACTGACGTTTCGCCTAATCTCGAGGGTTGTGTAAAAGTCATGCATGTGAAGTTGGATCTCTTAAAGCGGTAAATTTACTTTTGTCCATTTTAAACGAAACATTCAACTCAACAAATGTTTTATATAATTAATTTCAAAGTAAGAAAATTAGTCTAAATCTAATGTTATCAGACAATGGACTGAAAATAGCGCGACAGGCAACCTGGCGAGTATTAGCTCCTGTACTCACAGCTTTGTCTACTGCCTGCGTGACCTTCTCCGATTCACTGTTTACAATAAGTACATCATCTGGCCAAAGTGTCAAGTCACTCATTTAATTGCTCACCGTGTCACCACATCGCTTACAGACTTCAAAACTTTTCTGAAAGTCAAAGGGCTAGAGAACTTCACTATGGCATCATATCCTTTTGAAATTGATTGTATCACTATTCGTTTGACTACTTCCTTTGTCTTCTTGAGCATCTATAAACTTTAATATCCTGAATCGATTGATTGAATCTAAACATGCTTTATAACATTTGTAAATAACAGTTGCAACACTTGTGATCATTTTTGAAAAATGCACTTTCCTTATCAAATGACAATACGACAACGACACTGAGTATCAACAAATACATTGAGGACTTCCCGGGGCTTGTCCACTTCCTCTTCATCGATAGGATTAACCATCGGATCATCACTCCCAACTTGGAATTACGTTTACACGGAATCGTCCCACTCACCAAACAAAAGGTTAACTTTAACTTAATTGATAATTGGCATGTGTTACAAGAAAATTTTCAAAATCATATCCGATAAACAATGGTATTTGTTAATTTAGAATTATGTCATAAAATATTGATTTTTTAATTGTAGTCACTGGCAAATGTGTCATATTTGATACATTCCCCTAACATAGCCACTAGTGGATGTATTGTACATGTCATACATTGCTCTTAAAAATTACTAATTATCATCAGACATGCCTGCAATAAATACATTAAAGTAGAAGAAGAGAAAGTTTTTTTTATTATGTCTGTAGCCACAGGGAAGAAATAGGTAAATTGAAAATGTTGAACCGGCAGTGATTACTTATTGGGTCTGTCTATAATCCACAGCTTTATCCATGCTTTCATCCTATTATTATTATATACATAGACAAATCATGGCCTTTGGCATCGGGAGTCTCTGAAAAAAATAGAAAAGTGTACTTCTTGGTTTAATTGTTAAAAAACAAAAGAAAAATGTTATTATACTAACATTGTATGTTAGTAATTATTTACCATACCTAGAGAAGTGTAGTGTTGTCTCCCTCACAAAAAGGATATAGAAAGGAGAGTTGATAAGTGATTTGTTTCAAAAAGTATCTCATACAATGTGGCAAGGTTTTGAAGATGAAAAAAACTTCTAATATGATTTTATGTGATCTAAGCAAAGCCTTTGACACAATTGATCATGAAATATTACTAAGGAAATTAGAATATTTTGTAATGAGAGGAAATGCGTGAAGTTTTTGCTCAAACTCAATGTAGGACTCAAGTCTCATAAAAAATAACACAGAACCTAGTCAGTTAGAGGTCATGTTTCCCAAGGATCAATACTTAGGCCAATGTTTTTTTTTTCTAAATGTTAACTTTAAATTACTAATATTTGGCTGATGACTCAAACTTTTTGGTAACTGGGTAATGTACTATTTTAAAAATTTATTACAAAGTGTTTATGATTATTTCTATGCAAATCTGTTGGTGTTGAATGAACAGAAAAATTAATATTAGTTTTTCTTTAACAAAAAACACGTTTTACACTTGACTGTTCTTTAAAATGGCATGAACAAATTAATACTTTGTACAAAAGTTTGTTGTTCTCTATAAATTGAGAAACATAATTCACAACAATACACTGAGGAAAGTTTATATAGGTTTATTCCAGATTCCAAAAGGATCGTATGGAGAAAAAGTACTTTTAATACAAAAAAAAGAGCATTGGGGGTTCATTTTCCACAAGCAAAAGAAATCACTGCAAACTTTGTTCAAGGAACTGGGTGTAATGACTGTTCCAGCTCTGTTGTATATTAAAAGATGTTAGCCAAACATAGAAAGTCTTCCAAAGGTTGCATTAGTCACAAAGATTATTGTATTGTTATATTTTAAGTACAATCATATAGACAATTTGTTAAAGGTGTTGGAAGGTCATTAATTAAGACTGCACAAGCACCTTATTCTAAGCCTGATAATTTGTAATAATGAAAGTTATGTTCAAATAAAACCATCTATCTATCTAGTTTATACATTAGGAAGAATAATTTGGCAGCTTATAGACAATTTACCTTCTGATTAAATTTAAGAATTATTTTTGTTTATATTTTTCTATAAAGATATGCTTCTTAACAAAGCAACAATGTATTATTATTACTATTAATTAAGGTTTTTAGTTGAGATGAAAAAAAGTTAATGACACGAAAGGGATTCGAACCCACGATCTTCGGCTAGATACACCGCTACTCTACCACTTGAGCTATTGTGACCCCGATCCACTGGGACACTAACTTCCCATCTCAACCCCCTTTTCCCCCCCTCCTTTTTGCCATTTTTCAATTATTAATTTGTAAGATATTAATTGGTCAAGCGGACCACGAAACTAGTGAAATTATTATTATTATATACACAGACAAATCATGGCCTTTGGCATTGGGAGTATAGGTATACATTTTATTACAATTTGCTGGTTTCACATTTAATAATTCAAATAAATCAGCCTGTTCTAAACCAAGACCAAAAAAGCCCACCTCTTGGTGAACCATGTCTAAATGCTGACAATCTTGGATAGGTCATAGATCAGAAAATGCAATTCTTATACCATTACATTTATTTTACACCAACACTGTTTTTATTTGTACTTTCTTGTACGAAATGGTTGTAGATTTGGTCGATGATTGAATTCAGCAGAATACACTTACAAGAAGGACATCTGGCTCTTATGTGGAGAGATACAACTTTCAACTATTCGTATTACCTTTGGTTTGAGGATGCCTCGGTAATTTTAAAAAAAATTTGTGCAATTGGAGTAATAATACCAAAATAATTGTATTGTTTTGTCAGGGTTCGCAACTGAAGCCGAAAGTCAGTACAGCGCAAGCTGTCAAAGGTTTGCCACTCCCTGGTGTATTTAGTGGTGATTTTTACAAGTAAGATTTTTTTTTTAAATTGTAGATAAATTTTTTTATTATATATTAATTTTTAATACAGAGAAGGTTGAGATGAAAAATTAGTGTCACGAATGGGACTTGAACCCATTGATATCGTGACGTTCCGTCCCTCCGAGATGCCAACTTATCTCAACCTACAACTATTAAAATTTTCCTTTGTTCCATTTTGTGCCAATATTCTAACATTGTGGCGATTACAGATAAACTTAACCTATTGTTACATTTTGACATAGGCGTCTCTTTGAGACCTGCTTTCCGAAGACGTCGCTCAGCAAAATCCGTTGTTACGAACTCTACTGCATTCATTTAGGCCTTGCGACGTCCTCTTGCATACTTGAGCAGTCGCGCCGACTTGCCGCGACAGTCTGGGAGGTGACGGGGTTGCCGCATAATCCACTTGACCTCCTTTGAAGCCAAACGACCGTATGCCAAATTAACGTGTGATTCTTAGTGTTTATGTTGTGAAATTTTTGAACCATTCCAATTTATGTCTTTCAAGGAGTATAAAAGAAGAAAATAGTATTAAAAGTTAAATTATTATTATAATATACTCCTAATGAAAAATAAAGTATGAGGTTTGGGTAGCCTATGTAATTATTTTCATTGTTTCGTCAAATGATCAAATATTGTTATAAAACAGCAAATTGTCTTATTTATTTATTTATTTTTAATTTATTAACACAAAGCATGGTTTGATTTGTTTTCAAACCCTGCGAATAAAAAATATGTAGCCTTACCCATTCCTCTTCTACAAAATCTTAGTTATTAGTCTTTCAGCTTTTTAGTGTGATTCATTGTATTATTTATTATCGTTATTATCATTAATTATGCACTTTACCTTTGTTTTAAGCCGCTCTTGTGCCAAGATATATATACTCTACAAAAATTTTCTAAAATACTGTTCAATGTTTTTGGTACCTTGTAAAAACTATGATTTTTTTAATATAAAATAAAATACAAAATATGTTAAAAAATTTGACTTTGTCTTATTTTATTGTTGTTTAATCTTCGCGAACTTTTAAACCTGCTTAAATTACATCTCTTACATATAACATACCCGTTATATGATTGCTTAATTTTGTTTAAATCGGAACGTGGTGGTAATAAAACTCGCCTCCTTTGAAATCACTTTATTTGAAATATGATATGCAAAAAAAACATTATTTACATAATTTTTAAACATGAGAAAAAAAACTTCGGTACAACAATCAGACTAAAAATTATGGGATAAAACATTTCCAGTTGGTTAAAAGTTTTTTTTTTTTTTTTTTTTTTTTTTTAATTGTTTGAATGCAACTGATGACAATTTTTGCTCTTGAATTATAAAAAATAAACAAGCTATTGCCAACCGATACAGTACTTCTAATTAACGTGTTTTTAAAATTAAATGGAATGTTTCTCATTAATGAGGCGAGATTAACATTTTTGCAACTTGTAAAAAATTAATGTGTATCAACGCTTCCAGGACTGATCCTTTGCCGCTTTTGTTGCTGCGGATAGAATATAAAAATTATAAATAAAATCACAACCAATTTCCCATTTGAAGACTTATGGAATAAGCAATTTAATTTATATAATAAAAAAAAAACTAAATGTACTGATAATTAAAAGAAAAATAATCCACACATTCTGTGGTTCTTTTTGTTATTTTCCTATTAAGGAAGTCCATACATGGTATAGATTCTTCCTAGAGATCCCGACAAAATAGTCGCAGCGATCTAAGCTACTATCACTGTTGTATATAAATTACAAGACAAAGTGGGGCATTAGTAATGTTATTTATTATTTTATTTTTTGTCAAATTTTCTTTACAAACTTACAAGATTACTTTATAAAACGAGTATGGAATTTCCTCATATTCTCAACTACACATATTCACCCCTTTTTTTCATAAATTATTATAGATATATATATACATTATGCACAGAAAATTATACAAATAATCATAATACCATTCATACTTTTTGTCAAGAAGGGAATTCTAGGTGATGTAAAAGCAAATAGCATTACAGTTCCTTTTTCAAGTAGACAATAAGTGTATTGTGTATGTGCTATTTTATAACACAACTTCAAAATTTTGTATGTTCACTAAAGAAAACAAATAAAGAATTTTTTTTAAAAGAAATACACCTGTTAAGAGTTATAAGTCAGGATGCCTCTTTCATGGGCCTAAATTATACAAGTTGCTTAAGTGAAAACAATTATACACCAGAGAGGGTTTTTGAGTATATATGTGGTTATTTACACTGGCCCGAATTCACGAGGAGAGGGAGGTAAATGCATCTACTTCTATCCGGCTATGCAGAATCTAAAAAAATAATTTTATTGATCAGTCTATGAGTGGAAAGTGGAAAATGTCGGTACACGTTGACTACGATGTCATCATGTCGGAGGCGGACGCTGTTGTGAGGAAAGGCCCCTTTAAAGCGTCATTCACGTCCCGCCTGAATATCGACAAGTTCTGTGTGAACCTGAAAAAAGAATGAACAAAATTTGTTATAAATGAAAGTGTTGAGGAAATATAAATTTTTCAAGTCTAATTAAACCTTTTATAAAAATAAAGTGTTGAGGAAATATAAATTTTTCAAGTCTAATTAAACCTTTTATAAATAAAATGGTACATTTTTTCCAAACCAAAATCAACCTTTTTTAGCTAGGAAAGAGAGTATTAATTGCTGGGACATGAAACAATTCCTTAAAGAATGGAATCTGTCCCCCGGACATAGGCAATCAAAGGAGTTTCTGAAGGAAATCAAACCAAAAGAAGCGAAATGGTTATTCTCTAACTCAAGGAGGGGAATTAGGAGGCTGATATGTCAGAGAAGACACCTCTTCATAATGGGTATTCTACCAGACCCCTTTTGCCGCTTCTGTGAAATAAAAGAAGAAATGGCTCGACACTACCTCGCAGAATGTGATAGGTATGCCAGGGAACTTTTGAAGGAGAGGACATAGCTAAATCACTCCCCAAGATAAAATGGTCTAAAATCTTGGGGTTTGTGAACAGGTCCAAGAGGTTTATGCAGGACTCGTGAGCCGACCAAGTCCCGGACCTTTTAGGGATGGGGTACGAGTCTACCTAGGCATTTAACCCCTCGGGTCTTGGTCACCCACCCTGCGTAATATTAACTGTGTTGTAAATTAGAATACAAAAATAAATATTCAAAATTATATATACATATTAACACCTCAATACAAGTCATCCTTTATCACACATACAGACAACTTATAACAAACAAGTTGGTAGGTTGAGACCATGAGGTGAATAGCTTTTTCAAGAGCGCGAGAAAAGAGGTCTGAGAGAAGGGAGAAGTGAGGAAGGTTGTCCTTTGGATGGTTGTTCTGTGGCTCTCATATGGTGGGAATAAAATCGAAGAAATTAAAAACAAAACATCTCGAAGGAAGAAGAAAGGCATCTCTGCCTCCTGGTGAAAGAGAAGAGAAAACAGCTAAGAATGTTATTTTGTTCTTCATTGATTTTTTTTCCTTGTGTTTTGAATAAAAATTGCTTTATTGAACCAGTTTTAATTTATCAAATTCCTTGTCTCGAGAAAGATCCATTATAAACTATACTTATAATACCTAGTCTAATTGAGGGTTGATTCATTCACTAGATATTCCCCACCATCGATACTCTTTTACTACACGTGCATTCACACATATAAATACATTCTCACAAAACAATTAATGTATCAACAAATTTAGTATACAGTAAAATCTTAATATTTCTTATCCCAAATATTGTAAGAAAGTGCTGTTCCCTTGAAAAACTCTTGTTGAATTATATAAAACCAATTTAATTCCTCTCGGTGTAACATATTTTTTTTGCCTTCAAGGTTGACAAAACATCTTGTAATTTGTATTTTAGCAATGCAATCTTGATTAAACGTATGAACAGACTAGGGGGTTTCGTTATAAGGACGGACCGAGCTCCATGTTACATATACCACAAGGGTCGATTTTGCGCCCAGTTTAACTAAACTCAAAAGTACCACATTGCTTATTGCAACGAATATTGCAGACAAAGGAAAAAGGTAACGGCAACCACAATAAAAAAATTCCTTCAGAACTTGTGGTTTCCTAAAGGAAAATATATCGGCCATGGAACTGGAAAATGAAATCCAAGCTTTCATCGGATGGCATTTCTTATTGCAAAATGAAGAAAATCCCATCACTTGAAAGTATGTTAATTTTGACAATACATTGCAGCTATTTGAATACATAATGATGATGAAATTTTAACTGAAACAAACACGACGTGGATGGTGAAGAAAACAAACCAGAAGAAAAAGTTCATTTCCTCTCTGATTTCTCTGCAGCTATTCTTAACTGCTTACAAATCTGAATAAACTTTTTATACCACTACAAAAACAGTCTAAATCTGACGTTTACTTATTTCCAATTTTGTGGGAGCATTAAAAAAAAGTTTATATTAAATCCTTTTTTTTAATCTAAAATTTTCTAGCCTTATACAAATTCATTCTTTCTTTTTTTTAATCTAAAATTTTCTAGCATTGATAAATTCATTTGTTTAATCTAAAATTTTCTAGCACTGTACAAATTCATTCTTTCTTTTATTTAATCTATAATGTGTGGTGATTAGTGACCGTCAATCGATAATTATTTAGAAATCGTGAGATGCGGTCTGGTGTGATGTAGGTTTCAGAAAACATTTTCTTTATCGTGCCAACGTTTCAATCTTTATTGAGATCATCTTCAGGGCTTCGGATTTACAAAAATTGTTTACATATAACAATTACATTTTGGATGTGGAAAAGTGAATTTATACAGTGCAAAATATACTTTTTATATATTCAACCAAAGTATTTCTACTCACTCAAAGTGTTTGTCTTCTGTGTAATTGTGCCATTCTTGCGTGTCGTGTCGGGAGTGCCAGTGAGATTTTGCTATTTTGTTATACGCTGGATTTTGAAGGGGTGGGGAAGGATGTTGGTATAGAAAAGACATTTTTGTATAAGGCATCGGCTTCTTTGAGGTGAAAAGAGCCGACAAAGGGAAAAAATGTGTTGGTAATGGTTCGGTCAGATTATCATTTCAGGATTAAAGGAAAGCTAAATTGTTGGGAAATTAGACTATGTGAAAAATATTTGATGTGTGGAATAGGTAATGTGATGATATAGGTGTGTTATCTGTATTGGATAAATGATATTGGCGACTGAGTTTACATGTATCTGTTCTGTAATTGATGCTATGTTTACCTCTGTTGAAAAAAACCATTTCTAAGAAATTACGTTTATGTTTGTTTTGTTCTGTGTGTAATACTTTTGGATTTTTGAAGTCGAAATTGTGTTGGTGTTCAAGATGTGTTCTTGTATAAATTCATTCTTTCTTTTTTTTAATCTATAATTTTCTAGCATTGAATAAATTCATTTTTTTTCATCTAAAATTTTCTTGCATTGAATAAATTCATTCTATCTTTTTTAAATCTAAAATTTTCTAGCATTGTATATATTTTTTTAATCTAAAAGTTTCTAGCACTGTATAAATTCATTCTTTCTTTTTTTAATCTAAAATTTTCTAGCACTGAACAAATTCATTTTTTTTTCATCTAAAATTTTCTTGCATTGTATAAATTCATTCATTCTTTCTTATTTTTTATCTAAAATTTTCTACCACTGTATCAATTCATTCTTTCTCTTTTAATCTAAAATTTTCTAGCACTGAACAAATTCATTTTTTTTCATCTAAAATTTTCTTGCATTGTATAAATTCATTCTTTCTTTTTTTTAATCTTTAATTTTCTAGCATTGAACAAATTCATTTTTTTTCATCTAAAATTTTCTTGCATTGTATAAATTCATTCTATCTTTTTTAAATCTAAAATTTTCTACCATTGTATATATTTTTTTAATCTAAAATTTTCTAGCATTGTATAAATTCATTTTTTTCCACATCCTACATGTATTTGTAAAATTCAAACGTTTATTTATAAATTCTAGGCCCTGAAGATTTTTTTTTTTTTTTGGCCTTATGATCTTGCATATTAGCCATAGTACGAATTCTTGTGTGTTCAAATTGGGGATTATCGGGAAAAAAGGGCCAGAGGCGACGGTGGGAATTGAATCCACGACCGCGCTGTGAGAGTCTCTCATGCTAACCACTCGGCTACCGCGGTCCCCCAAGGCCCTGAAGATGATCTCAATAAAGATAAAAATGTTGGCACGATAAAGGAAACATTTTTCTAAAATGTACGTCACACCAGACCGCATCTCATGATCTCCGAATAATCATTAAATCCTTAACTGTATTAAGCGAAGATGAATCTTCATATATAATTAGAAATAAATTCAACTTACTTATCTCTATTTTTTGTAACTAAATTCCTCTCGATGTCTTCCATCAAGTTCTCAAACCACTGTGCCATAGCAGACTGCTTGTCAGCCGGTTGACTCCTTATTATATTTTCCCTCAACTTATTAAAATACTAAAAAACAAACCAAGTCAGTAACGATACTATACGCGCTCACATTTCTATACAAGATACTGACATCTTCATTCAGTAAGATAAGTCCGAGGAGGGGTCGTGACATCGACCACTGGTTCCGGCAGTCCTCAAACATAATTATGTTCAGAACTGTGCTCAAGATCTGATGGAGAATTTCCGGGTGAAGTTCAAGCACCTGGAGAAACATGTCATTCTGTGGCTGGTTCACCCCACGGCGCTTCTTACCTTTCTGCGTAACTTGTTTAAAAAGGTATGTAACGATGTGGTCGAGACTGGCACAACAGCCAGTACAAACAAGGGTATCTGTAAAAGAACCTGTATTAATAGTAAAAGTAATACATTTTGTATATAATGATTAAAACTTAATTGTGAGTGCAATCATTTTTTTTTTTTTTAAACCAAAGTAAGCTGTTTATGAACCTACCTAGTGCTGTAAGTCCCTCTGATATAGACGAGAGTATATAAAAAAATAAAGATGGTTGAAGTGTGGCTAAAAAACTCATATGATCCTGAGCTAAACATTCTAACAGCAAATAATACGTTTGTGACAATTTTGGGTAATCCTAAAATATGGAATTAATACAAATTATGTAAATTGCCAATTGGATAAAAAGTAAATATTGAATCTTACCAATAAATCTACAAGTGGTATGCTGAAAAGCAATTTGACAAAGGTTTTAAGAGCGTTGTCCAAAGCGTTATCTCCGTACAGCCTAAATACACCAAAATTTACATAACTACCGCAAAGTGCCGCCTTAAGCATAGAGAAACAAATTGAGATGCCTTTCAGTCTCATGGGATACATTTGATCTTCAGGAACATCCACTATCGTTAAAATATTTGATCCTGAAAATATTTTTAATAATTATATCACTTATTATTGTAATTTAGTAAACTGAGATAAAAAATAAACACACCATAACTTGAAATGACTTTGCTAGCTTCCCTAAATAACAATATCCCATTTGGAGATGAGACATCGAATTGCAATCTTTGCGATCTATTTTGAACAAGCTCAGCAAACAGCTTTAAAACAGGTGTCGTGACTTGTGGCTCCATGTACCACAGCTCGATCGCATGGAGTAATATTGGCGTGTACGCGGGATAACTGTAAATATTCGCCAATTAAGGAAAACAAGTGTTTTTTTACTACAGTCCAATTGACACGTAGAATTTTGAAATAAAAGGATACATCCAATCGAAGAGCATCATGTAAGACTGTTTTGTATTGAATGCGAAGGCAAGACCGCGCAGATCCCTTGCCAGCCCGATCAAAGCCGTCTTCGCCTCATCTGGAGCAAAAACTGGTGTCCCGGCATTGGCCAACATTGCTCCAATCGATTCAAAAGCATCTGAAAAATATTAATCCTCACATGGAAAATAGGAAAAATAAATGTTTGATATAATTAAACTATTATAAATTGTCTAAATCTAGGACTGAAACAAATTTATATATAGATTTCCTAATTTATTTATTCTTTCTGAATCTACCACCACTATCTTCATCCAGAAGAGGCCAGATTCACAAAACATAGATTAATGAAGAAGAAAAATAACTTTATTCTGGGACTTGTGTCCCCTAAGAATAATATACACGAAATAAATAAAGGAAGTTTTTTCTATGAAATTAAAAATAGAATGTAATAAAAATCTTGTCACAAGGTATACAAGGTAAGGCAAGCCGTAAGAAAAAATAACAAGAATATTAAACAAAAATATCAAATATTAATATAAGGTCCCTCTTTGGAGGGAGAGGAGGTGATTATACAGGTGGGATTTAAAGGTGGAAAAGGAGGCAGCGTGACGAATATTAAGGGGAAGGGTGTTCCTGAGTTTAGGGGCTCGGATCAGAAAGGATCTTTCAAAGGTATGGGTTGTATGTTGCGGAAGGATAAGGTCAATTGGGGATGAGCCGGTGTTACGAGTGTGATGTTAGAAGTTGAATTGGAGGGATTGGGTGATGTAAGGAGGACGAGTGTGGATGGATTGGAAAAGAGAGCAACCTGGGAAATATTGTGCAGAAGGAGGGGTAGAGACAGGAAAGTTGGGAATACAACCCCGACACCCGGGACCCCCGTGGGGTGCTGAACACAAATCTTACGCAAAAATTCATAATACGCTTCAATTGCGTGTTCCCCCCCCCCTCTGAGAGACCATCATATGCCACACAGCTGTAATCAAAGAAGGGAAGTATAAGGGAAGATACAAGGAGTTTGTGGGTGAAGAAAGGTAAGAGAAGCCAGGACCGACAAAATAGGCTGAGGGAGGCAAGACAACGGCTGGAAACTTGGGAAATGTGAGGATGCCAGGAAAGGTTTTGGTCAAAGACTATTCCTAGGTTTTTAACCGAGGAGCTTAAGGTAATGGGATGGTAATTTAACATATATACCATGAGAGGTGGGATGCTGGGGAGGGAACTGAGGAGTTGCCTGGACCCAATAATTATGGTGGTGAATTTGGACGGATTGAGAACTAGCAAATTTTTATGTGCACATTCGTTGATGGAATTTAGGTCTTTTTGGATCCTGAGACTGGCCGAATAATGCAGGGACAGGTTTACAGTAGCCTATTCGCATAACGAGCAACTACCACTTCGGGGGAAGCTGTAGAGGTCATGATCCTTGAATTCAGATTCGACATAACATTTCAAACTAAAATACCTGGTAGTCAACTGGGAGAAAAGGATCCCAGTTAATGTCAGCCTTTTCTAGTATACAGATGGCCCCAAAACTGGACAGAGCTGGTATTTATGGAAATAAAATAAGGAGAAACACACTAAATTCATATAAGCCTTGGGCAACGTGCCACTTACAAACAGAGACTACGTACTGTTGACAGAAGAGAAGACATTCAGACACATTCAGACAGCCAAGTGGCACTAAGGACAATTATCATACCAGTGGTAAAGTCCAGTCGGGCCCTGTCAGACATTGTGGAAAATAACAAAAAATGAGCAATGAAAGGACCGATAAATTTGCTAAGGAAAGTTCGAGGAGGACACCTAATGGCCCTGAACCCTTTTTGTGGCATACTAAACTGCCAAAAATGTGGATCCATCATACAATGTATTCAAAATAAGTCCTCCATTCAATCGGATTTTATCGCAGGACAGAGGCAAATGACCTTCGCAGAAACTAACAGCAAAACTTTCTAAATCCAGGACGTGTTAGGACTAGCATAATAGTTGGATTGCTAACTGGACACTGCAGACTCTGGAGGGATATGTATAAACTAGGAGTGGTAGAAACAAGTCTGTGAAGATATTGCCAGGAAGGAAAAGAGACGGTTGAACATGTCGTCTGTTTGTGTGAAGGTTTCTGTAAGCTGAAATACTCCTGGGACATAAATGACAATTGCACATCATTTATAAGTTTTTAAGCACATAGCTCTTCTTACAATACAATAACTCAAATTTGACATATTTCCTTTAACTGAGTAAATAAATAAAAAAAAACAAATATAATAAAAGTGAATAGTAATATTCAAAAAAATGAGTATAGTAATTGTTAAGTAGGTTATAACAAATATGGCTTTGTAATTTAATGTTTATCAATCATCTTGGTCTTACTATCCTCGTTGAGTTAGTCTGTAAGTCATTTTTCGACATTTTGCCATCTTCAGTTATGTGTGATTATGTTAAGTATATTAAAAGGTCGTGTAGGATGTGCATGTGTCAGCATTTTCTTTGTTTTTTGGTACCTTTGGGGAAGTCTTTATTGTTTAACAAAGAAATCCAGACTTTAATCTACAAAAGGTATCAATAAACAAATATACCAACATACCCCACCCCTCCCAATCGAATAAAAGTTAAAAAATTATACACTGAAGATGGCAAAATGATTAAACGTGACCAACCCAGCCATCATAAATAGATGAAGGTAATCGATCAGTAAGGTTCAAATTACTTCATTAATGCACAGACCAGAAGATCTTATGAAATATAATTATGCCATTTCACTTGAATGTTACGATTCAAAAGTAATGGAACAAATAAAATCAAGTGATTTTATGTGCCAATAATTTTTAAAACTGAAGTTTTACATTTTAAATCTAATTTATGTCATAGATGCTGGCTTGTTATCATTTTTAATAAGAAGAAAATTGAGCCTAATAAAACAAAATATCTAGCAGTGTAGTTTTCATAAATTATTGCAATTTCATGCTACAGTTTTGAGCAATTCAAATTAAAGTAAAATTTGAATGCATGCGAAGTGGATGGCCGAGGGAAGAATTTTCGACTTCCATCATCACTGTGGCAATAATAAAAATATAGAAATATACAAACAATTGACTCTGATTAGGGAAAAAACAGATCAAATACTTTCAAACATAAATAAAAATTACAACAGGTTTTACGATTTTATAGTTTTCCAGCCAAAGAATTTAATAAAAGCATTTGTTCCAAATTTCACTGGCTGGAAAAATGCCATAAAATTGTGAAACCTATGATAACTGACTTGAAGCCAGCACCAGTACACCATCGACAATTAATGATAAATAAAATAACTAGAAAAACAACAAAAACATATACCACATTGAGGCAAATTCATATAAAAAGCATGTTGAATAACAAAATCACACAATATATACACATAACTAATATGAACAAGCAACACACACCCTTCTAAAAATATTAGAGACCAAGAAATTATAGGCAATTAACATGTGAAATAATAAGAATGAAATAATATAACAAAATGAATAAAAATGTAATCAAGTAACAAGGGAAAACAAGTGATTGTAGGACGGACGGATACATTTGTTTTTATGATAACCGAAGTTTAAAATGTGATATTTTGTTAAAACTGTTTTCTATAAGAATCATTTCCTTGCTTCAGAATTCAAAGCAATTCTTTCTTTTCTTTTGTTCAAGACTCTAAAATCAACTGTGTTGAGCAAGGAGCATTCTTTCCTCTCTGCCAAGGCGGCGATTATTCCCGCTGCCAGTGAGTTTGTGACGTGTATATGGGATGTCTTCACATCCTTGAGCTTTCTAAGGCTTGATTCTGTCATCAGGTCTGTCCTGTTTGTGTTGCGAGTTTTCTTTTGTACCTTGACAGGATCGGTCTTGAGTGCCTTATGCTGTTTTTCATTGGTCGTTTCTCTCGGTTTGACCCTTGTAAGCACTTTATGCGACTTCAAATTTAAACGCTCTTTAGATTTATCCCTTTGCTTTTCTTTGTTAGACTTTTTCCTGATGGGTTCGGTTCTCTTAACTTTCTCCTTGACTGATCTCTTTGGGTTGCCCTCTTCTTGCAGGTTAAAATGAAAATCCTCATCGGAAGAAGGAATCTCTATTAGTTCCATTTCCTCAGAGATTATTTTTGAATAAGAAGGAATGCCATTGTTAATAGTGTGCTTTTTTGATTTTTTCTTTACTTTTGATTTTGAATTATGATTGGCCTCACCCTTGTTGCTCGTCTTGTTAGGGATTTTGTTTTTCTTACTGAGAACAATATCGTTTTCCTGGGTTTCATTTTCTGTAGAGGGCCCATTGCTTAAAAGAACCGGCTCTGCCATGTTTGAGGATTTATTTTTTAAATTTGTCTTATCATCCTGAGCTTCGCTGATGATCTCAGCTTCGTCGTTAATAGGTTTCAGTTCAGTTAGACATGCAGTCCCTTCATCCATTTCTGGAGCTTCGTCGTACACCTCATCCTCACTCTGCCCATCACCGGCTTCATCTTGGTGGCTTGATTTTATCAGGAAATTGACCGGGTTCACCTTCGTCTTTTTGCCCGTTTGTACTCTATCAATTTTTTCACCACTGCCGTACTCGCCTTGAGGCTCTTCACGCTTCTTGCGCTCTATCGCCTTCACTAGCATCTCTTTGAGGTTGTTTGACGCCTCGGTCTCTTGTGAGACGACATGCATCAACGCTTCGATCAGCTCGTAATCCTCTTGAAGTAAAGACATTGCCACCTTTTTAAAAACGATTTTTATGAATATAACTTAGTTGTCTTCCTTTTTGGCTGGTAACCATAGTGTAAGGTTATAATCAGGTATACAGCTGATGCCTAAGAACCAAAAATTTTGAATGATTTTGAAAAACCAAAGAGCTAAATTTTATTTTTGTTCTTATGTTTAATTACATGTAGACAACTGACAATTTATGAACAATTGAATTAAATTACAGCACAGTTTCATCCTTGTTTAAAAAAATAATAAATAAAATAACATGAAAGAAATAATGTATGCAATAAAATTTTCAGTCAAAATACCAATAAAAAAAATTTTTAAATGAAATTTTACAATTTTTTTCAGTTTTATATCAAAATGAAGTGGGTAAAATCTAAGATGTATGATATTGATTTAGGGTATAACATTGTAAGACAGCATACCATCTTTGACAACCTAGTATTAAGAAACTAACCATGGCACATTTGGCATTTTGTTAATTTAATAATGGTAAAACATTTTCAAACAGTACTTCATTTTTAGTCAAATTTGCAAGATATTTCATAACAACTATGAATTAAAGAATAAAACTAAAAACGTACCAAATAGTCAAATTATGGATGATTTAGCAAGACTTACTTGTCAATGGCACCATGAAAGAAGTGAATCTGTCTTCGTCTTCACCCAGGTCTACCATAAGCAATCTACCGAGCGACGTGTAAAAAATGGATCTACATCTCATTTCACTGACTGGAACCCCATTGCCAAGAAATGGAAAGTGCTCACTCTGTAAAAATGAGGGAATTGTTAACCTCATTTTCAAAAGAATTATTTTATCTAATACGTACAGTGTGGTTGTTCAGCATAAACTGAACTTCATCCAATTTGACAAGCTTACGTACGCAACTGTACCCGACAGTTAAGTCATGCAGGAGCTGAAGGGTTTTACAAATCGTCTGCTCACTCCTCCCCCAATATTTTAGATTTGTAATACTGAAAAAAAAAGTTTAAATGACTAATACGCAATGAGTCCTAACCGTTAAATTTTTTTGCCATTTGATTTTTATATATTACATATTTTTTGTGGTATAATTTAATTTACTCACATCTTTCTTACAAAAAGGCTCAAAACCATCGATTCATCATTAAGACCTAAAACTTCAGAAAGTCGTCTATATACTTTGGAATTTTTTTGGACCTGAAAATTTTAAATTATGTTAACAATCATATTAAACAATGCTATCAATTATGACAACCAGGAAAACTGATTATTATATATACCTGGTCACCAACATATATTTTCCTAAACTGTTCGAAAAAACTTAACATAGCTAATTCTAATTTTTCACAACCTCCTTGAGATACTCTTGAATCAGTAAGATTCATTAACTGTAGGACCCTTGAAAAAAAAACCAAGTATGTCAAAAAATCAGAAAAATGTATTTGTATTTTTTAAATACAAACCTGCACACTAATTCACCATCCATTGCATCGTGTTCGTCATTGCTGTTAAACGATACACGCCCACCTATCGCAGATCCTATTATGTACACCAACCAGGTAAGCCGACCCTGCTGGATTGAAATGTCCATCTGCGGTTGGTGAGGGGATGAGAGGAGTTCTTGGTAGAGCGTCGCCGACTGATCAAACAGCTGGACTAGAAGAGCACAAGTTTTTTGGTATTCACACCTCCCGATTACGGAAAGCTGCTCTAATTGCTGCTGGACCATGCCAAGGTCATCCAAGGGGTCTTCGAGCCCCTCTCTCACAACAACAGCCACTGATTCGAGCCTCGAGGTGATATAAGTCGACGTGACTTCGGGTGTATAGGTTTCAAGGAAATGCGGCTCGATGGCCTTCACATACGGTACCGAGGCGACCATCCTCTGCCACAAGCTCAGAAGATAATGTACACTGTTTGGCGCAAACTGCCACATCTAGAAAAAGTTCAAATGATCCTGCTGCATTAATAAACATTCTATTGTTAATATTTTGTTGTTTTTTGTGGTTTTTTTTACCTGGAGGCTTTGAACAGTAAACTTTGCTATAAGTTGAATAGCTTCTCTATAATTTTCGACAATGACCAACTCGCCAAGTTGGTAATTTGACTTAAGTCGAGCTAAAAGTCTACAGAATTCATGGTAATTACTAGGATCACTAAGGCCCTGAAAAACAGAAAAAAAATTTAATCTTTAAAGTCAAATGAGGTTTTTTATCAATTTTACCTGAGGGTTTTGTAAAATGTGTTTGACACCATTGACCAATTGGGTTAGGAACTTTGATCTCTCTGTATTACTGAACAGAGACCTTCTAACGGATGCGATCTGAACCAGACATGACAAAGCCTAAAAGTCCATTTTCGATAAGTAACAAATAGATCAAAAACTTGAAATTGATAACATAAAACTAATAATAATGATAAAATAATCCTAAATACAGTTTATGTGGTTATTACTTAATTTTACAAGTAACATTGTCTTTTTTAATTCTTCTTTTCTTTTGTTGGAGTCCCTTTTATTAGTTAGTTAAATTCTTCTTAAGGTGGGTAAAAAATTTCAATTAACTGTGGTGTTTCAGCATCCTGCATCATTTTCAAAGCCATTTTATTTCTGAAAAGGATGCCAAAACATCGCAGTAAAATGAAATTTTTTACCCACCTTTAAGATGGCCTATAAATAAGAAGAATTTAACTGTTTATTTTATTTATGTTTTGTAAATATAATGTTGAAAACAAAACACAATTCGTCATCCAACATTAAGAAAATTTTCTTTCTTTATATTTTATTATCTTATATTAAGCTAAGATGTTTTTAAGCTTTATAAATATTTTTGTAGTGTCAAAAAATATTTAAAGAAATGACAGTTATTTTATATAAATGTATATTTACCAAAGGAGAGAGAGAAGTGGGTAATGAATGGTACATATCGAAGAAAAGCTTAAGCGTGGTAAAATCTAAGAAAGCCGGCCTCCAAGAAGTAGGAATTTGGACTGTGCACAGGTCATCAGAACTTTCGTCTGTCGAAGTCCCGATGAAGTCGAATGTTAAACAGTTATGTGCCAGCCTTAAAAGCTGAATCATCAACCCATGCTGAAAAGTACAAATTGGCTATTGTTAATGCACTTAAAACTGCCTCTTGTAATCAGAATTGGTTAGGACCACATACTTGGCCTTCATCGTTAAAATTCAAACTTTTACAGTTTTCGCTGGCCGTACCGAGGAGGGAACATGATAAGCGAAATATTTCAAAAAGCTGGGTGTCCCTAAACGATGAGGCAATTTTCCTATGCTTTGTCAGCGATCTATTTGCGTCTGCTTCCGATATTTGATTCATTTCGCAGGTCAGTTGAGAAAGGAGTTGAACCCCTATCATACAATGTTCAACTGACCCCTTAAAACAAAGAAAAATATAAAAATTAGTACACATGAAATAAAGCATTTAAAGAATATAATATACCTGTAAAAATTTAGTTATATCGCTTATAACATTACGAAAAACAAATTCATCTTTAACAGTATCAAACCAACCAAACTTTGTAATCTTGGCGAATAATGTTATCAAAGCTTGGACAACAAAAGTAGCTAACTTTGGTCTTGTAGCTAAATAATTTAAAACATAATTTCCTAAAACAAATTCAAAATTGATGAAACTGCCATCCAAAATAATAAACAGCCAATTATAAAATGATACAACTTACTTATATCAATTCGTTGTTGTAAACTGACTGCTTGGGCATTCTTTGATATCAGTTTGGTGAGGGTCGTTGCTGCCAGGAGCTGAGCATAGCTAGAGTCCCCTCTGTCGAGGAGGAGCTGGCACTTTGGCAATGTGTCAGTCCCATTCTGAAAACCGATCAAAGCTTTCTCAGCCCCAATTTGGACCGATGGCTCATTGGATTCATAGAGTTGTTTGCACAGTAATTCTAGATGTTGTACCTCCTGAAACAAACAATAATTAAATATTAAAAATAAGAAGATCCCCTTGGAAGATAATACAACCATTTTTCATGAAAAAAAAGTGATTTCATTCAAGAGGATTTCACCTATTGATTATAAATAAATCAAACTTAAAAAATTACCACAATGAAAAATATTAAAGATGATATAAAAAGTAGACAACATGCTAACAGGAAAGGAAATAAATTTCTTGTTAAGCAACTCTTTAAGATGCTTCCAGATTTATTACAAATCAAGCAAAAATAAAACATGACTCTTGAAAATAGTAAGGTTGTACAAATAAAGTTATAAAATGTATACAAAACCTTAGCCCCTAGCATTTCCCAAGCATAACTAAGCATTATCTTTGGGGGGGATCATAGTTTTCTCTTATTACACCTTTAAACATAACAATATTTTTCAGAAAGCCTCCTGCAAACATGTTCAACGTCAAATATGGTTTTGTGTTTAAATCAAACTGCATATCACAAATTTTAAAATTTACAATAAAACGGACTGTTGGTAGCAATTACATACTTGAATCATTTATCATTATAATCCTGAAATTTAATCATCTGTGATCATTTTGCCCATTCTCAACGGTCTATAAGACATGATATGTATTTCGACTTTTGTGGCTTGGACTATATGTTATTTAAAAAACAAACAAAAACAAGTTAATATTCTTATTGGTATATTATTTAAATAATTACGAGGGTTTAAAAAAATAAACTGATAAAACAATCTGTTTAAACCAAAAACAAAAAATATCCTGAAAGTTTTGATTTTTTCAATTTGACGAACCACCAGTTTTTATTTTACTTTGCCAAACAACAATTGTACCAACAAGGACTAAAACATTAATAAAAAAAAACTAGTTCTCTTAAAATTAAATTGTCAAAAATGACGTGGCTGCAATGGCTGCCTGAGTGTCTCACTCCCATTTGTTAGTGGTTTTGGGTTCAAATCCCAGCAAAGCCCATGGATTTTTAATTGATAATGGTATGAAAAATGTGTTGTATTGTAAAGTGACTTGAACCCTCATCCACGACACACAATAGTTGGATGATAAGCCCTCCTGTATGACATGTATTACTTTACTTACTGTAATTGTCACAAATGAATATTATACTAATTCTAAAACATTTTTTGTAAGTCAGCAAAATGAAATTGAATTTATTTCTTTGAAAATAAATAGAACTGCCTACGATCAAAGAAAATTTCCCAGATTTATCATATCCCCCATCCTGTCACAAAACCAATATGTCACGACAAGAATATCATCACACTTTATTTGAGTTTGAAATACTTGGTTCAAAATTTATATTTACATCTTAAATTATATTTTTTCCAATCAACATATGTTTTGTAATTTACCCAGGCCCTGAAGAAGACCCTAATTAATTAAGGTCGAAACATCGGCAAAAAAATGAAAAAGGTGTTTTTCTAAACTACCTCATGCTTGACCGCTCTTCATGAAAGCAACAAATTATGATACAGCAGGCCCCTATGAAACACGCGTAGATAGTAAGGTTGAATGTGAAGTAGGGATGGTTTGAAGACTAAAGCAACTAGATTCCTAGGAGGTTGGAATGCTTCGTTGGACTCCAAAGTTCAAGTCTGTATGTCCAGATTGGTTATTGTAATGATATGTACATGAGGCATTATGTTGCAAACGAGAGTTTCTATCTTTTTTCATATAGTCTTTGCAGTAGTTTAAATAGTCGTTTCAGTTTTATACTTTCGAGGCGAGGGTAGGGATGCAAAGTAGCTTATTAACTTGTCAATGTTAAGTCCCAAATATGGGATGACATTGTTTGCTGGCATAGGAACAAGTAATAGATTGGAGGAGAAGAACTTGTTTGTCAAGAAGTTGTCAAGAACTTTATTTGCTGGGATTTGGTTTCGTTGAGACTAATCTTATTTCTTGAACTGTTCTTTGTAACAGGAAAGATGGTCATGGAGGATTCGAAAGGCCAGTACTAGGTCTGGGTTACGAAAGGATGATGTAATCGCCTGAGAAGTACTGTACCAGGATTAATAGTTTTGTTTTCAATGTATACTGTAAATCGTGAATAGGACCAAGGGATCGGCATAGCAGATGGGGGAGAAAGATATTCCGATTCGTAATTGAAAATACTACTTAGACTTATAGGATTTTAAGGATAAGATATTAAGTAAATGGAAGATGCACTTGAATTTCCAGAGCAAATTCGGATGGCACACTTGATCAAAGGCTTGTCTCACATCTAGGAACACAGCTGAGCAAGAATGGGCAAGAACAAAGTATAAAGTTTTAAAAAATTCTAGGCTTGTCTAAATTATTAAATTGTCTAAACTGAAATAATATTGGATTTTTTTTTTTTTTTTAACTTGTTATGTGGCTATGATCTTACTATCAAACTTTAAAGGTGACTAGTTAAGTTTAGCAAGCTGAAAACACAATTCTGCAATCAATCAAAGCCGCTAATCTTTCATGAAATTCTTAATTAAAGGATAATAAAGGATGATTCAGGTGGAAAGATCAGCTTGAATGTGTGTTTTATCCAGCAGTCGACAATATGTGAATGTCAATGATGACAATAGAAATATACACACTTTTTCAGCTGATTCAATATTGTCGAGATAAAATATACACACTCTTGTGACTCAATTTAAGGAATGTATTTATTGGTTGAAGTTCATCTACCAACTGCTGTTTTATTCCATCTTCATGGAGACCTCAGCCCAATGGAAAAATTACTGCAAAAAAATTATGGTCACTGTATTTTTATCCGCCTGGCTAATCCAGCTTCAAAATCTTGGTTAATGTGCATCTATTGCACCAATTGCATTATTTCATCAGGCAGATGTTAGCAATGACTTAACTAATGACAGTTTTTCCTATACTTCAAATTGTGAAATAAAATCTTCTGGACAAAATGCACAAGGTTTAAAAAGCCTCCGGGCTGTCTAAATTTGAATAATAACGAAAAATGCCGATAATCCTACTAACTTAAAGATTAATAACTATAGGTTAAATTTCATCTCTTAAACTACTATTTTATTTCGTTACTGTGTACTCATCAACAATGAATCAATTATTAACAATATGTGAAAAATAGTTTTTTCATTAGATTGATGAGATGGGAGGATTTTTGACTATTGAATTTTATTGCTAATAACAAACGGTTGGTGCCACAATGGCTAAGGTGGTGTTACAGCATTCATCATTGTAAGGTAAAGTTCTCAGATTCGAATTCAGGGCCGGTGGACATATTTACAAATGGGGTTTTTTTTCAAAACCGACACCCTGAGGATTGATATGACCTCTGTTCCAAACCATCATTAAAAAATAAATAAATAAAATAAATATAAAAAAGTTAAATTAAAAGGTTAAAGTGAAATCAACTTGAATTGCTGTTTTATCCTGTCAACAGTGACACGAAAGTACAATACACACATTCTGCAGCTGATTCAATACTCCCAAGAAACTAGTCTTGTGAAATGCTGTTGAAGTGTGGCCGTAATTTTACCCATATGCTATTGAAGTTTAGGTTAATGAAAATATTAGAGCAATTTTTTGGCATATGGCCGTATATTTTAAAAGGCAATTGTCAGCTTGATGGCCGCGACACCAATGACATGATTTTTCCAGTTCATCAATTGTGCAAGAAAATCCTTATGACAAAATATACAATGTTTTTTAAACATCTATGCTTATATGACTGACTAAATATTTCTGAAAAATTTGAAGTTTTTCAAGCTGCTAGGCTTAGACAAATGTCGAAATTTAAAGAACAATAAAGACCGATTCTGGTTTATGCGATTCACTGACTGAACCAATGACCGCTATGGCAATAAAATGCTTTTTCCAGTTCATCAAATTGTGCAGGAAAATCCTTTTGACAAAATATACAATGTTTTGAAAGCATCTATGCTTATATGATTGACTAAATTTAAATAATATTGGAAAAATAGTTCTTAAAAATGTGTAGAGATTAGTGACCGTTAATCGATAGTTATTCAGATATCGTGAGATGCGGTCGGGTGTGATGTAGGTTCTTAAAAACTTGAAGTCTCTCATAGCTGCTAGGCTTAGAAAAATGTCAAAATTTTAAGGATATTAAAGAACGAATGTGGTTAACGCAATTCCATTCTGTCAACAATGGATGACCGTTGACAACAAAAATACAAACATTCTTCAGATGATTCAATATTGTCATGAAACTAGACTTGTGGAAATATCACAATTTGAAGAAATTTATTTATACGTTGAAGTTCATCTACCACTTGCTGCATTATTTCGCTATGAGCCCAATCGGATTCATCACATGAATTGATGAATTGTTGAAAGGTAGTGACTTCGTCTTGGTTAATTAGTCAAATTTGTGGTTATTGCACCATTTGGTACACTGTTATATATTTCATCATGCAGTTGTCAGTAGTGAATAAACCAATGACCGCTACTGCAATCAAATGGTTTTTCCAGTTCATCAAATTGTGCAATAAAATTCTTATCACAAAATATAGTTTTGAAAGCACCTAGACTTATATTATTGTCTAAATTCAAATTATATTGGGAAACCTTACTTAAAAACTTGTTTAGGTTTACCACAGATTAAAGTTTGTTTATTCAACTACCACAGGCTATTTTATGTTCTTATAATGTACCCATCAGAAATGTCTCAATTATCAACAATATTAGCAATGAAAAAAAATCGTTTTTACAGCTAACTGAATGAAGTGGATTTTTGATTGCAGTTTTACTTCGTAATACAGTGGTCAACACCGATACGACCAATGACCACAATGGTATAAAATGGCAGTTTCAAAAGACAATCAAAGCAGTTAGCCTTATACGAATGTCTTAATTTAAAGGATAATGAATAATGATTTAGGTTATAGTGAGATCATCTTGAATTGCTGTTTTATCTTGTCAACAACGACTGACAATAAAAAATACACACATTCTTTAGTTGATTCAATATTGTCGAGAAACAAGACTCGTGGAAATGTTTCGATTTGATGAAACTGTGCAGCTTATTTGACTTTGTAAATAATTTTTTTTTTTTTCAAAAGAAATATTGTTTTTGAGAAGATGAAATCGTCCTACATAATAAGATTTGCATAATTGTGATACATTTGTTTTATTGTAATGGGTCGAAGAGCCAAGGGTTCTTAGGGTTTTACTGTTTTCGGTGAAAAATAGTTCCATAAGACTTGGTCAAGAAGAAAAGCCTTAAATTTGTTCAAGAATTAGGAAGGATTAGTTTTCAAAGGATAGAAACGCGTCTGTAAAAAGTTATATTTGTTGTTTATTTCATGTAGGTTTAAGAATTTTTTAGATTTTTTTCCGATCGACTTCAAAGGTTAAAAAGTCCAGGTTAAAGTGCATAAACAAATTTCTCAAAGGGAAAAAGAGAATATTGTATGTAGTAAACAGAACAAAGAAATTATTTAAATGTTAGCCGTTGTGTATTGTTTAGGCATTGAGTGAAAAAGGGAAAATCGATAAAGAAAGAAGGCCGATTGGAAGTAAACAAATAAAATCCGGCGGAGCGGATCGGGGAGCGGTTTCGAAAGAATCGTCGGTTTTGAAGAATAATTCTGGCGGATAAACGAATCGTCTAAGAAGAGAGAAGTTGAAAGTAAGGAGAGAGGAAAAAGGAAGAAAATTGAGAAAAGCCGACGAGCAGGGCGGACGGGATGTTGGACGCCGGGGATCCCGACTCGGCGGACAGCCGCGTCTGAGGCCCGGGTGAGCGGATAAGCCGGCCGGGGGCGGCAGGGAAGAAGAACGGGCCGGGAAACACGTTATTTACAAGGGCGACGGCGGGGCGCCGAGGAGCGGCGAGGGCAGGCGGACAACGGGAGGCGGCGGACCCGGGGCGTCCGGAGGCGGCGATCCGGCCGGCGTTTCGACTCTCTCGCCTTGAGGCCGCCCCCCGGCAAGTTTTAATCCGTTATTCTCGTAAATAAATACTTTGTTTACAGACTCACCTGTTCCTCAGCCATTTTTGCAGCTTCCCATGCGTCGACTGCAGCGCAGTCTAAAAACATACCCAACGCAGGGAAGTATAAATAAATAACCAGTGTTGCCCTCCGCCACCGGCCGGGGGCCCCTCATGCATAAAATGGCGAAACAGATTTTAAAAATCAACTCAGACACTATCACCAAAAAAGAATTTTTTCCCTTTAATTTTAAGAATTTGAAAAAACTAAAAACAAAGTGCGAAATCGCAGCCTGGAAAGAGAATTAAATATGAAAAATTCTCAATCTGCATTTCAATGGACGTTTCCCACTATAAACAATCGCTTTAATTTTTAATTTTTTTATACCGTCAATAACTTTGACTTTAAATTTCTATTTGATGGTAATTTCCAACAGGGAGACTTTGACCATTCGAAGGTGCTAGTTTTACTACTAAAAGTTTTTTTTTAAAATGAAAATGTTAACCCTAAAATTCCCATCTTTTAAGTCTTAAAATATAATTATTTTATTTTCTTCCAGCAAAATGGTTTTATGGCTCTATATATGAACTTAGTTACATAATACATACAACATACACAAGTAAAACAGTAAAGCACAAACGCCTTTAAAGTTATCCTTCTATATTGCGCATATATGCCCAGAACTCTCTCCAGTGGCAGAATAAAATTTTTAATCTATCACCACTTTTATTATTTTTTTACTCTCTCTTTCTCTCTCTTTCTCTCTCTCTCTCTCTCACTCTCTCATTCACTTTCTCTGTCTTTATTTCTCTCTTTTTTAAGTAAAAACAACAAAGTAGGTCTTGAAAAGCCCAACTTAAAAATGCCAAATATTCCACAGTTTGAGAAAAGATTTTATCTATATATTTCTCTTATGTTATCTATATGTTTCCCATGATAAACAATCGCTATATTTCTTTTTAATACAATCAATTACTTTGAGTTCCAACAGGGTTACATTTGACCATTCGAAGGTGCTAGTTTTAACACAAAAGGTTTTTTTGGTTAATCAAAATGTTCACCCTAAAATTTTCATCTTTTAAGGCTTATAAATATTTTATATTCTTCCAGCAATATGGTTTTATGGCCTTATAGATGAACTTAGTTACCTAATTTCCCATTTGTTTGTACAAGTAAAACAGTAAAGCACAAACGACTTTAAAGTTCTACATCTATATTGCACATATATGCCCAGAACTCTCTCTCTCCCCCCTCTCTCACTCTCTCGATCGATCGATCGAGATCAAAAAAGTATAGAACTTAAGACACAACCAGGTCTCACACCTGCACCTACATTGAAAAAACTGCGATGCCTCTCAGACCTTGAACTGCTGAAGTTACAGAAGAATACAATGTTTTTTAAATATTAATAAATTTGGACAAAATTTCCTTATTGAAAAGCTTTAGATATATTATAATCTTGGTTGTAGGTTATTTTTGTGAACTGAAACACTAATTGTGTTTTACGTTGTATATTTATGGCATAAAAAAAATAAAAATGCATAGCGATTGAAATATATTACATAAAAACTAATTAATGTTTTAGTTCACAAAAATAAGCAACAACCTAACCACCAAATTAAATTAATAAAAAGAAAAAGAGATACAGATAACTTTTTGCACTTTACATGCAGCTTGAGATTTATAATATTGGATACAATAAAAATGTTATCCAGTGCAGAATACCCCCTTTGAACTCATATATTAGATTTTTATCATTCTATATTATTGTTGCATGAGCCTGGAATGGCCCCACCTTTGGTAATGCGCATAATGTTCCCCGTTGAACTTTTAAGCTGCATTTATGGAGAGTTGAAATTATAAGCCTTCTTAACTTTTAAGCCCTTTAACTTTTAATACCTGTTTATAATGTGTTTGTTTAGATTAAATCTCACCCAAAAATCAGTAAAAATAAAATAAATTTCTTCTTCTTTTTACTTCATTTCAATTTTTTTAAGTGTGTACGTTTACTTATAATAACAACATTATTTTCAACACTTTTTAATTTCAAGAATTATTATTATACTAATGAAAATTTATTCTCTCTTTTAGCTGTTATCACAGGCAGAGGGTGTTGATGATGCCCATCATTAAACTTTTCCCGCTTTTTGTCGTTTGATAACAGCTTTTTCGCGATAAGAGAGAATAATCCCAGTTTCTTAAAAGTTTTAGCAAATATTTGTTAATATCGGAACTGGGGAAAAGGCCAGCCTGTGTCTCGACATTTTCAATTAATCAGTAAAAGTAAGTTTATTATTATTTTTCTGTAATTATTCGATTTTTTATTTTCGATGGTTTCTTACTTATCTATGATGTTCATACTGTTCTTGTATGATTTTAAACTCTGTGAAATATGTATAATATTAGCTCAGAAGAAGACTTAATACGTCTATAGTTTAATAGAAATAAATTTACATTTTAATTGATCAGCCAGATAAAACAATGGATGTAAACAATGTTTCTAGATATGATTAAACTTTCAATTACAAAGTTAGTGATAAATGTAGCTTAATCATTTTGCCTCGGTACAGGCAGAACAAAATGAATGAAAGCATCCAATCTATTGGTTTGTTCCCCTACAACCCTCAAGAAGAAATGTCTCAATAACAGTAATGAATTGTTCGACATTATTATTGATTCAAATATCTACATTCTTGTCTCTTTACAAGGAATTAGAAGCTTCATGTTTGATTTCCAGAAGCCCGATTTGACGTTCTCTCCTTGCATGAACTAAGATGGGCTTTTAAGCTAAGATTTTACATGTAAATTCAGCTGTGTGGAATAGTAGCTTTGGTGTATGCTCCCTGTGCAATTCTTGTTCCGTCGAGGCTGTTTTACTTTCCCAAGGAAGGTGGGAATTATTGCGGTTCTTGAAAGGCTCTAATAATTGGCGCTTGATTTAGTATGCTAAACATGCTTGGAGCTACAGACACGAATTGATTAGAGAATTTCATTTTTAAATTTTATTCTTTCATTGTTATTGAGCTATCAAAAATTTTTGAATAGACCTCATTTTTAATACTTGTACACTAATTTATTTTTATTGTATTTTTTTAGTATGTTTTTTCTTTTCTTCTCTCTCTCTCTCTCTCTCTCTTCTCTTTTCTCTTTTCTCTTCTCTAATACTTATTTTGTACATATATTTGTAAAGCAATGACCTCTGGCCGACGGATCAGATAATCCATGTCCATAGTGCTTTTGTTCTTTAATTTCACAAAAATAAGTTTTAATTTTCTTTTAATAAAGCAATTATTATTATTATTATTATTCAACATGGATTTTGGGCAGAATGTTAGTCCTTTGCTAGATGTAATCAATACTTCATTCATTTAATATTTCTTAATATGCAGTGTGATAAATCTGAAGTGTCTGTCATTTACCAAATATCAGCAAGGAAAAGAAGACCAAAAGGTTTGGAAAGATCCAAACTGCACGGTCAAATAAGCTTAGGTTCAGTTTTGCGGTGGTCAGATTTTTGCTTTTCACATTGTAACTCGTATCGCAAATTGTCGCTAACAAATGTGTCGAAAATACACAACTTACAAAACTCTTGTGTTATACAGTTTTTGACCAATCAGATGATTATTGTCATTTGCTTGCTTGAATTTCATTGCTTTAAACGCAGATGAATGATTTTCCATTTGACAATGTCCATGAGGGTGTCGATTCATTATTTGTCTCTTGTTTATTTACTTTTTCAAACTAGACAATAATTGGAAAAGTAATATGTAAAATGTTTGCATAGATAAAGACTCCATATTTCTAAAATATATAATTTAAACTTCAATTGATCAACCAGATAAAATATTATTTAAAGTATTAATTCATATATGTTTAGCAGTTATAATTGACCATATTAATTATTTCAATTAATTGTATATTTTACTTAAGGTGTTTTAGAGACTCACTTGTTTGGGATGAAAAAGTAGTGTCATGAGTTGGATTCTAACCCTCTAGAAAATATGACAAAAAAAACAAAAAAAAGGGAAAATTCAAAAGGTTGTAGGTTGAGGTGGGGAGTTGGTGTCCGAGTGGATTGAAGTCACGACAGCTCAAGTCGTTAGAATTGCAGCATATTCAGCTGAATGTTATGGGTTCGAATCCTGCTCGTGACACTAACTTTTCATCTCAACCAAGCCCTTAGGTATATTAAAAAACATGAGAAAGATCTTGCTCCTCCAAACCTTTGGATTAGCAGTAATTTTGTTTATTTGGTTTCAATCATTTTACCCATTCTTTACCCAAGAAGATTAGCAAAATGAACCAAAATGCCTAAAAAATTGATTTGTCACTTCATAAACCTCAAAAAGAAATCTCACAATAACAGGAATGTATTGTTTGGTTTTGCAGTGGTCAGGTTTTTGCATTTTAAATTTTAACTCCAGTTACAGATAAGAAATGATTTAAAACCTCTTGGGTTAATCGATTTTTGATCAGATGAATAATTGTCAATTTTAGTTTTAAATAGATTTTTTTATTTGACAGTGTCTACGAGGGATTTGATTTATGACTGCAACCTGGAAAAATGGGCGAGCTCTCTCGGCTTTCCTGATGTGGATGATCCGCTGTTTAAGGAGAATTGGAGAAAGTGTGTGGCATTGATATAAAAGTCATTTAGTGACATATTTATTTATAGATTAAAATAAGTGATTTTTTAAAGATTGGCTTGCCCAAGTATGAGGAGTGAATGGCGTCATTTGACTTCCACGATAGTATCACAGCAGAAAGCAGCTACTATTAAGAAGCAATTACTTCTATACAAATTAACAACCAGCAATAATTCAAATAATGGCAAATTGGTAAAAACAACCATTACATCTGATTACAAGAGTGTACAATGTCATTACTCTAAAAATAATTAAAGAAAATTCAAAAGATGCAATACTGGATTGTCTTGTCCAACTTGGCTTCAGCCATTTATGTTATTTTTAAACATATTTATTAACACATACTTTTCATACAATTTTACAGAAAAAAATGAACAGCGTGAAAGACCTAGTGACTTACGAGGAATTGAAACCATTGAGAAATAAGTTGGCAAGCCTAGATTGCAAGATAAACATCATTTTGGATGATATGAAAGAGTTAGAGTCCAAACTGGAGGCTCGAAGTATGCTGAAATATTTCCTCTATTTATTCGTTTTATGACAATTAACAACAATTAATAATAATTTCAGGCAAGATTAACAAGGAGTGCTTGGAGGGGAAGCGTCACAACCAGAATAAAATTAAAACCCTTCAATTAAAAAACAAAGAAATTGAGAATGATATATTTTCAGTGAGGACAATGCAGAAATTGGCTTTGGAACTATCCGACAAAAAGATTAGCGGTGAAATTTCCAAGGTAAATTTATCTAAATGTAAATTTTCTATTGTAATAATCTTTCGTGGTCTGGAAGTTCTCCCAGAAATAATCACAATAATCATCAATACAGTGATAGTATAAGATATGAGTGCTCCAAAGTATGAGTTTTCTTAGATACAAGTTCAAATTTAGTTTTAAGTTATGAGCCATAATTTGAGACACGAACTATTCCACAACCACCACTCGATTCAGATCCCCATGCACTTCCTTGTTCATTTCACACCACACTTACCCTCTTGGCAGAAGCATTGCTGTCATACTACTTTATTTTTTTTTTAAATATATATATATTTTTTGTTGTAAAGTATAATAAAGTATAATTCATTGTCATTTGTATAAGAAAGTATGCAAAAGGAAAGTGAGTGTACCAATTTATTTTTTTATTTTTTGCACATTGAAAAATTATAGAAATATAGAAGCTAATTGGGTTCACCAAACGTTTTTTTTTTTTTTTTAATCGATAAAGTTTATTCACGTTTTAGTTGTATGAGATTTTGTTGCTGTTTTGTTTGACCTACATGCTAAAATAGTTTTAGTTTTATCACTCAGAAGTTGTTTTTTAATTTTTATTTTTCTTGTATGGATAGAAATTAATCTTAGTTTAACATAATTGTAGTGTAAGCGGGTCTATTTTTGTTAAGCTCTTCACCTAGAACCCGAAAGTTGGCAGTTCATACCCATATCAGGCCATATATTTTTCCCATTTTTCTCTCCTTTTTATTAATTTTTTCCCCTTTCCATTTGTACTTTTTGTCTTATTCTTCCATTCCTCTAAAATAATGTGATAGCTGAAAAATTATTTTACCTCAAACTGGAACTCACCTTTTCTCAATTGAGCTGTATGCATCTGCTACACTAGAACCACTAGGAGAGTTCTGGGTGTAATATATACATACATTTGTATTTAGTTGGTTTAATTCTTCTTCTTCTTATTATTATTATAACAAAATGGAATTGTTTTTATGAGTTTATTATGCTATTTTGCTTATGTTAAAATGTTTCACTTAGTGAAGGTATTTATTAGCATGATTACACAGATTGTGCAATGTAACAAATAAGGTACAATTAATTAAGGTTTTTAGCTGAGATAAAAAAGTCAATGGCACGAGCGGGATTCGAACCCATTATGAAACTAGTGAATTTAATAAGTTTAAATATGAAGTATCCTTCACTAAAGCTCAAAAGGCCATTTCATTTGTCGCCGAGAATCAAATTGATTACACGACATTATAAAAATTACAAAAAGGAGGGAAATTTCAAAAGGTGTGGTTGAGATGGGAAGTTGGTGTCCGAGTGGATTGAGGTCACGATAGCTCAAGTGGTAGAGCAGCGGCGTATCAAGCCGAAGATCGTGGGTTCGAATCCTGCTCGTGCCATTGACTTTTTTATCTCAGCTAAAAACCTTAATTAATTGTATGATATTAATTGGTCAAGCGGACCAGGAAACTAGTGAATTTAGTAAGAAATAAGTGAGGTTTATTGTGGAATACTAACTACCCAATTGATTACATGATTCAAGAATTTAGTTGTTCGATTGAATATATTTATTTAAGAATTAACAAAAAAATATATTCAGATTATCAATTGCATGCGTTCGGAGCAGAAATTATCTAGTTAATTTTGATAGAGAAGCGATATTGATTTGGCAAGACCAGGGTGTACTTCCAGACTTTTAAAATCACAGATAATTTAATCATTTTTTTTATAAATAATTTTCAGGAGGAAACCCCTTGGTCTAAAGAAGTTAAAGCGACTGTAAAGAGCCTTACACCAGGTCATGAATTAGAGGAGATGATCAAAAGAATGAAAAGCGCCTTGTGTAATAAAATCAACTGTTCCAGCACCAAATGGTATTTATTTTTTTTAATTTTATTTAGCACATAAAAATACATAAATAAAACTGAAAATAATGATTTCACTTTATCTATAAATAATGTAACACTTCTCACCAGAAATGTTGGAACATTCATTAATTTAAACAGTTCTGAAATTTTTTCCTGTGATTTATGGGGTGAACTTGTAATTTGGTCGTTACTGATCATTGTCAGAGGCATTTCAGCAGCCATCGTTAGATCTATTATTATTGAGGATCTGACAGACCAACCCAGCAAGGATAGGCAGACAAAAGTGATCGGTGATAACCAAATTACAATTTAAACGATATACAATGGAAACAAGCTTACCATTTATTTATTTCTTATTACATTTCTGTATAAAAAAATAGATATTGAAAAACTCCTTCAAACAATTAAAGCCAATAATTGAAAATTCCTCTCGCGTTCTAGATCATAAGTTTAGATTTTACTTCTTAAAAGCAGTGCATTATTCATTTTGAGCAGGATACATTGCCAGCTGAGAAAGCTAAAAATCCTCCCATCCTTATTATTCATTCTTTCAGTCATACCTATCAAATGGATATTAACAGGAAATAAAATATCATTTATATCACTGACTGCATAGGTGTCTTTCAAGGGAGCATCCTTGGCCTGTTGTTTTTTACAATATACCCACTAAATATTCCCATTTTAACAATATAATATGTTGTGTATCTTATTACAGTAAATAGATGTGTAAAATTGGATAAATCTCTACTGAATTTGTGAAATTTTGTTTTAAGAGGTACAGTGTAAAGAAAATGTGGTCTTTTCTGTTTATCAAATTTTGGAATTTCACCATCTTCATTGGTGGGTTGAATATGGCTAAATGGCCAAACTCAGCTGACAGAGCAAAGAAGGATGATTGATCGAAAACGACCAAACTATGCGGTTTAAGGTTCATATTAAATATAAATGCTAACCACACCACTCGATGTTTTTCAGCCAAAGTAGACTTGAAATTTTGTTCGAACTTGATAAGGAACACGTAAAGCGTTACTCAGATTTAGAGATTCTTAAAAAAATCCATGCTGCAAAGGAGGAAAAGCTTAATTCCATATTGAAAAAAATATATGACAAGATGCTAAATGTAAAGCAGTTTCACTTATTGTAGTTCTTCTGTATTCTACAAAACTTTCTTTTTCCAGAATGAAAATGAAAGATACTGTTTTAGTGCTAAAAAATTCCTTGTAGAGAAACTCACTGACACAGTCAGAGAAACAGGCAAGCTGGCAGCTTTGGAGCAGAGCATGTGCACTTTGAAAAACACCAATGAAGAGGTTGAGCTCAAATACAAAACAGAAAAAGAAAACATAGGCGAAGTGGAATCTATTATAGTACGTTGATTATCTTGTGCACATATTTTCCTGGCCTAAAAATTAAAATTTTCTCAAAGACAGTTTAATGGCATTTAAATGTTTTAAATTATGATAAACAATTTTTGATGGCTATAAAAAATAGTTAACTGGATCTGATGAAAATATCCCACATATGTACTAACTGTTATCATTTGATTAATTAATATGTAATTTAAAAAATTGTTATTTAAAACGGAATTGAATATAGAGTAGCAAAATTAATTTTATTGTTCATTTTTTAGGAGAAAAAATTTCAAAAACTAAGGTTTTACTGTTCCATTGACATCGATTTGTTCTCAAAAAAAGTTTTGGACTTAGAAAGGTTAATGAAGAAGGAAGTTTCTGAGTTCAAAATCATTGAAAGTATTAGCACGGTCATTCCAACATCAAAACAAGCTTATCCTGAGCAATTAAAACTCTTTCTGGAATATTATTTGGTCAGGTATAGATTATCATTTGATCGACTTATTAAAAAAGAAAAAAAAAAGATTATATAAATTGGCACATATTTTCAAGGAATAACACAACAATAGTAGACAACGTACCTCAGTCGTTAACGGATTACGCCGTTTTCCAGATGCTTTTGCAGAAAATCGAGGAACACCAGGCGCTTTGTCGGGTTTTGAGCCAGAACGAAAAACATACTTTTGGCATGTATTTTGTTTATTGCCAAAGAGAAATGCCTCTTTATAACCTACATTCCCTCTTTTTAGATGTCGACGTATTCAATAAAATCGAGAAAAGTGTGGAAGAGAATGAGAAAAGAATTTTGAAAAGGATAAGTGAAATCGAGTGCCAATTGTCTGCATCAAAATGCCTGAACAACAAAAACGCCTTGGCTTTAAAGTTTTGGTATAGCGAATTTCTACCTCATATTTATTTGTGTGCAAATGATGATTGTTTGATTTTTCTCAGGATGCAACAGCCGTTTGCAGATCATTTACCAGGACATCCAGAGTATAATGATATCAAAAATAGATTCAAGAAAGCAATACAACAGAAGTATCACAATGATAGAAATAATTAAAACATTTATTAATGATTAAGTAAATAGTTAACATGAAATATAACTTGCAAAAAATTTATATAAAAACAAAATTTGTTGTCATAATGTAATATAGCCAAAGATAATACATTGAAAAAAAAAAAAATTAGAACTGTACAGCAATATCAATCCCAGGAATAAATTAATAAAATTAACACTCAGAAAAGTATAAGAAAAAATTACAAATGTTATACCATATGAGTCAAATTAAAGTTGATCATAACACTTGATATATGTGGTGATTAGTGACCGTTAATTAATAATTATTCAGAAATCGTGAGATGCGGTCTGGTGTGATGTAGGTTTCAGAAAAACATTTTCTTTATCAGGCCAACGTTTCAATCTTTATTGAGATCGAAACTTTGGCACAATAAAGAAAATGTTTTTTGAAACGTACATCACACCAGACCGCATCTCACGATTTCTGAATAACACTTGATATATATTTTTACCTTTCTTTGAGAACATGATACAGTTTTTATACCAGTATTTTTAATTTTTTAAACATTCACAAAAAATTTTTATATTGCTAACGAAACAGTATTAAGAAATTTTACTTAGAATGGTCGTACTCAGGTCTGATCTCACGTCATTTCACAACCTATATTGTTCATTTACTAATGCTTTTATCTTATACTTTTGTTTCACTATCACATCAAATTCTACTCCTAGATTAATTAATTTTAACATAAATTTTAGCCCTTTAGCACGACAGTGCTCAGTTCTGATTGATTACGGAGAAAGTATTCTTTGCTAACATTTTCCAATTTATCTTTCTTCTTAAATCAAGTAGATTCTATATTTTATGAGCTTCATAAATATATTGAAAGTTACAAGGGAAAAAATTTCTTTGGGTCTTTGGGCACTGACTACGTTTTTTCACCCAATCACATTTTGTGATATCTAGGCTTCATTTCATATTCTATATTGATCACATAATGCTTTCTTCAACTTTTTTTTTCTGTTGTCAGATCACATTCTACTTCTTACTTAACGTCGAATTTGGTTTTTTTGCATGACCAGGCTCAGGTCATATTGATTAAAGAGAAAATGTTCTTTTGCTAATGAATTCAAATTTAACTTTTTCCTTAAATCAAGTACATAGATTCTGGTTTTATGAAGTCAAAAAAATATTGAAAATGGCAGAAAAAAACTTGTTTGGTACTAGTATGTCAGTGCTAAGTTTCACCTCACAATAAAAATGTTTGCTAATGCTTACAAATTTAATTTTTTCCTTACATTAACTTGATTTTATAGTTTATTGGCTTCAAAAATATTGAGTGACAAACTGGATGAGAGTATAATTGAATTTTTTTTCTTGAGTTTAAGGGATTGGCAAAATTTTTGATCAGAGAAATGTTTTACTAGATGTTCTTTTTGATTCTAATGTTTGAAGTTAAATTGTTGAAAATTATTGACTCTGCTATCGAAGCAAAAGAATAAGCAGAGTATTTATAGTTTTGGGTATGGGTTTGAAATTGAAAAAAGGGTGGGGAAGAAGGTCAAAATTTAAAAATAACGCGTCAAGCCCCGCGCTTATCGGGTATCGGCACCGGCCGTGGGACGGAGAACGGGATCGATCCAACTGAATAGAAGACCAGTCACCAGCCGGCAGCGGAACTCCAGCTGTTTTTCAGCTGAACCGGAACAATCAATCGGCCGGAGAGGTTTTTTTTTTTTCAAAAACGGCTCAACCGCAGAGCCACATTTACATTTCACACAGACACCCGACCCACACAAAAACCCGTTCTGAACACAAAAATCCCAAAACAGAAGAGACAGGACAAGCCAGAAGATGATCAGCTACTGATTTCCGGCGAGCTCGGACCGACGGACTTTTCGACCGCCAGCCGGCTTCGGGACGAGCGGGATCCGCTGCCAAACATTTTTCAACGCCCACGACAAAAGTGGAAGAATTTTTTCGGCCTTTTCTTCTCGTAAGTAAGTAAAAAAAAATTCTCTTCCTTGCCTCCCGAAACTTCTCCCTGCAATTATTTTCATTTGCAAATTAAACTTTAATTTTTTTTCTCTCTTCTACCGCTTTTGTTTCTTCCGTATGACACATGACCTCTGATATGTATATACTTTAGCATGATTTTTTTAAAGTTCTAATATTGCTCACAAAAAAAATCAGAAATTCTTTTTTTATATTAAAACTATCTATTTATAAACTTTTCAACTGATCAATTTAATATCATAAAAGTCTAGGTTTTAAAAATTGGACGATGTATCCAAAAGTTAAAACGATTTTATTATTTACTTTCTTAATTATTGTATATTGTTAAAGTATTAGTTTTAAATCTTGCCCTTCCCAAAAAAAAAAAAAAAGACTAATTCCCTTTTTTATATATTCTAAAATCGATTTATTTATGAATCTTTCAATTAACCATCACAATCTCATAAATGTCTATGTTTGAGTAATTAATATATTTATTTTAAAGTTAAAACAATTTTATTATTTGCTTTCTTAATTATTGAATATTTTTAAAGTGATAGTTCTAAATATATAGAGATATATTATATATTCTTGTCAATATTTCAACTGAACAACTTAATCTCATAAAAGTCTAAGTTTTAAAAATTGGACACTGTATCCAATTTAATTCAATTTTTTTGTCCAATTTAATTTCATTTTTTTTTGCAAGTCCAACACTCAAAAAAAATCACAAATTTTCTTTTTACATTATAAACTATAACTAAATAATATAATAAACTATAAACTTTATATTATAAATCTTTCAACTGACCAACTCAATCTCATCTAGGTTCAATTAATTGCTCATTGTATTAATACATTTATTTTAAAGTTAAAACAATTTAATTTAACATGAGTTTGATGAATCACTGTATCAATAATTCTAATTTTTAAGCCAAAAGTTTAATTTATTTACTTTATTAATTAATTTAATTCATTGATTTAAATACTTTTTTTTAAAAGAAAACACATAAAAATTAAATTTTGAATGGTACACCAAGTATAATGGCATGGCTAATGCCGTCTGCAAGAGATTAATGTAATTGTTTTGAAAGTCTAAGTTCTAAATCTTTCCCATATTATAAGAAAAAATAAAAAATTATCTTTTTTATATTATAAATGATCTATTTATCTATTTTTCAACTCACCAACTCAATCTCGTAAATGTCTAGGTTCTAAGAATGGCTCGCTGTATCCAGTTTAATTTAATTTTTTTTGTCCAGGTTAATTTAATTTTTTGGAATGTCCAAGTTACAAATCTAAAATGCTAGGTTTGTTGAATTACTCGCAATATCAATAATGCTATTTTTAAGCCAAAAGTTTTAATTTATTTACTTTATTATTATTTAATTTTTTCCTTAAATGATATTTGTTTATTTATAATTTACTTTATTATTAATTTAATTTTTTTGCAAGTCTAAGTTCTAATTCTTGCCCACACCAAAAAAAAATCATAAATTTTCTTTTTTATATTATAAACTATTTATTTATCAATCTTTCAACTGACCAACTCAATCTCATAAAAGTCTAGGTTTGAGTAATTGCAATTTAAAATGGTAGTTCTAAATCTTGCCCATACCAAATGGAAAAAAAATCACAAATTCTCTTTTTTATTATATCATAAAAAATCTTTCAACTGATCAGCTCATGTCATAAAAGTCCAGGTTAATTTAATTTTTTTGAAAGTCCGAGATAAATTTTGTCCATACCAAAAGAAAAAATCAAAAATTCTCTTTTTTATATTATAAACTATCTGTTTGTCAATCTTTCAGCTCACCAACACAAGTTCATAAAAGTCTAGGTTTGGGTAATGCACGAAAAAACCATTTTATTTATCTATTAATTAATTTTAGAATAACAAATACGGCTTCAATAGAGGTCAAGGTTTTGGGAATTCTCTGCATTTTTTTATTTGTTTTAAAATCACAGTTTTCCTGAAATTAGATAAGATATAAAAGCATTCTTTGAATTATATTGTAAACGGTTTTGGCTTTATGAACAATACTATTGTCTTAATCTGTGCCTTTTGAGCTAATTGCTACTTTCTTTAGTCAATCTATGTAGTTTGATGTTTATCTTTATACAAATTAATCATAAAACAACGAACAAAATATTAGTTGGTTTCAGTTGTCTACAATTTATTTGTAAATACCTTTTAAATAAAATACTTTATTATTACAAAAATTTAGTTTACATGAGTGACTTATTTACATTCAAAGTAAATACTTCATGATTTCTACTATCTATCGGAGTTCGTTACAATCTGTTGCCAAACAAAGATTGCATGTACATGACAAAAAAACCATGCTAAGCCATAGTCCACTTAACAAACATCTTCAATCAAATATTATACTTGATTACTATCCCTACCTCTGGACAACCTCTAAAGTTACCCGCACTTTGAAACCTGGCAAGTCCTCATCCAATCCAAACAGTTATGACCTATTAGCCTACTTAGCCTGTTGGCAAGGTATTTGAGTGTGTTATGTTCACCCGCAACTTAAACTCACTTTTACTCCCCATGTTAATGATGAACAAGATCAAAGCAGCTTTTTATTATGTACATTTTATTTACTATGCTTTTTCCTCTGCTCAGTCGCCAGACTAGCCTGTCGCCTGGCAATAAACTTCTCTGTACTGGGTGGTCAGCCCGATGCTCCTGTATGTATGCCTCTCCTAGAGTTTCACAGAGAGGACTAATGCCGCCAGGCTGCAGATGGTGCAGAACAAGTTCTGACCATGCCTCGATATACACAATACAACAAACATGTTGATGGTGATGGAATCAGAGACGTAACCATTAAATTTGTTAAGCAATGCGAAGCTGCCAAATAGGCAATTAGTTTGGACAATAGGAACATGCTCAGGAGAATAAAGAATACTCTCCTATAACCTATGATAGCTGGGAGTGTAATCTTTTTCTCCTAATAGAAAAATGTCATGTAATTATTATTAATTTTTAAGGGTGTTTTAACAGCTAAGGTCATTTCGTGCCCTAACATCCCAAACCTTCTATCTTAGTTTAGCTATGTCCCTTCTAAGTCTTCTATAAAGCTCTGACTCCAAACATTTACTCGTAAACTAATTTATCCTATTGCCATCCAAGCTTTAATTTATCCTAAAATTCTTAATTTGGAAGGCCAAATGTATGCAAAAAACCCATTTTAAATTACATATAAAAAAATCTTTATTTTTTTTATTTTCAAAATTTTTATTTTTTTTAAAAATTAGAATTCTGAATTTTTGTTCTGTAATTTAAACTAATTATTCAGAAATCGTGAGATGCGGTCTGGTGCGATGTAGGTTTCAGAAAAAATTTTTCTTTGTCGTGCCAACGTTTCAATCTTTATTGGGATCATCTTCAGGGCCTGGGATTTACAAACATTGTTTACATTTAACAAATATATTTAGGATGTGGCAAAGTGAATTTCTCTCATNAATATAAGTGTATTGTTTATTTTTTATATATTTTTTATTAATTTATTTTTCTATCTTATCAGATCTTTTGTTGCAGTAATGTTTTGTATTAAAAAAGTGCAATTAGCAGCTCTAAAGGAGGTTGATATCTAAGTGAGCTATGGAAAGATAGGATTTTTTTCAATAAATTGATAACCGACAATTGATATCTTTGTTTGGGGAATGCCTTGAAAAAAAGTTTTAAAAATATAGCTTCGAAATCCAAGGGACCAGGCAAATAATTCAAACTAGGAAAAAGAAAATCAAATTATTAAGAGTTGATATACATTTTTACAAGTTATGTGAATTTTACGTATATAAATTATCATAAAAATAATTAAAAATTGGAAATAGATCGATTATAAAATTGAACATTGCTATGACCGACCCCCGTACAGACGGACCTCGGTCACTAAATTAGTTTCTATGCTTTGCAAATTTAGGGTATTTTACGGTATTTAACGGTTCTTAACTCCTTCGACCTTGCTCCAAAAGTGGAAGCCAATGAAGGCATGAATATTTTGCTTCCTTTTTTTTTTTTTTTTTTTTTTTTAAATTTTTATTTACCTAATCTAAAATATATAAAATCCCCTTGCTGATTATTAATCCTTTTGAATACATTTTATAATAAAAACAAATACAATAAAAATAATATATGGAATATTTTTTTATTTCCATTTCGATATAAAGAATGCTCTTTCTTCCCCTGCTACGAATTGTATCAACAAAATATATAAAAAAAATTTCAATTTAGCAAAGTACTGGCTGAGGAGTTGGTATTATCAAAAAATTGAATTAACAAGTTTACTATATTTGTTGAAAATTCTAAGCAAATAAATTTCAATATTTTTTACATCAATTTTTATGGCAGTTAAGAAATTGCAAAAACAAAGGCTGATAACCAAATTTAAAACAAAATTAAAAGTATTATTCTATAGGTATCTATTAATTTATTGTAATTAATCCTTATTTAATCAACCTAATAGTTTTCTTGATTTGAAGAAAACCTTTTTTGATCATAAATTATAATAAAAAAATGTTAATTGAACGTTGAAGAATGTTAATGCCAGGTCTTTGTTGGAAAAATGCTTACTTTTTATCACGTGGTTGTGATAGAATAATTAAATTCAGAGAATATTTGATAAGATTGGCCAATTATTAACTTTTTGTTTTTAAAATAATTGTGTGCTCATTTAACTTTCTAGTTGGTCAGTTGTTCAATTTTAATATATTAATTATTTTAAAAAGTTATCAGAATCATCAAGATTTTGTAGGCTATCAGTTTTAGTAAAACTTGTCTTGTCTGCCTTGAACGGTAAAGTTTGGCAAGTTCTAAACTACTCGTAAATAAATTTTTGCCTATATATTATACCATTCATTCCATTAGTTTCCCTCATCATCCTAATCTATACAAATAACAATGGGTCAACACTCCGCCATACATTCAGTCGTATAATAATTTCCGTCACACAAAACTTTGATATATAATTGTCATGGACCAAGGAGTCCCGTAACTTCTTACCAGAAGGGTCTTGGAAAGATTTGAGTGAACGATGCACTCAGGCCATCTTGAAGGTAGAATCTATCAAAGCGAGAAAGAGGGAAAATCAGGCCAGAAAAACATCTGTGAAAATAATATTAGGTAGGACTTATTTGGGCACTTGTAAATTTGTAAGATTATATTTATTTTATTTTAATCTATTTTATTTTGAACCCTTTTCTGTTTCTACATCTGGGAAATAGGTTCTAGGGGAGGAAGGGTGTCAAACCGGTAGCAGAGCATTCCCACTTTTCCATCACTAATTGGAAGAAAAAAATATATAAAGATAATTTAGTATTTTTTAGTTAATTAGAAAGAAAATTTTTGTTTAGAGTTGGACAATTTTTAAAAATTCCCTATTGTAAATAACTGCATGATCTTTAGAATTTTTAGGTGTAAGAAGTTTTTTTTCTTTTTTTACTAGGTAGTTGTTAGGTACTAGCTTAGCTTGACACGAAAGTGTGTCCACATCTACCAAAAGGATTTATCTTCTCACTTCATTTAACATTTAGCTATGTTTAGATGATTAAAAAAATTAATTAACTTTTTAATATGGAATTGAACCTTCAAAAATAAAATATAACAATATAGGAAAAAATTGTAAATGTAATAAACTGTTTGGTGTTTAGTGACTGTTAGTTAATGGTCATTTGGGGATTGTGAGATGCGGTCTGGTGTGACGTAGGTTTTAGAAAAACATTTTCTTTATCGTGCTAACATTTTCTTTATCATGCTAGCGTTTCGATCTTTATTGAGCCCTGAAGATGATCTCAATAAAGATTGAAACGCTAGCATGAAAAAGTAAAGTTTTTCTAAAAACTACGTCACACCAGACCAATCTCCAAATAATGTAATAAATATTCACCAGATAAGAATTTCAAGGTTTCCCATTGTGCTTCACTTAATAGAAATCTAAAGAAGCATTTTCATTGCAAATTAATTTTTTTAAATGTCTATACTACAATATTTGTCTTTTACTATCCATATCGATTGTTTAAAACCAATAATTGATAGAATACTCGTTAAAAAGGGTAAAATTCAAACAATTATATCTATTCTGATTTTATTGAATGTTATATGAAGTAATGATAATTATTTTACATTATAATTATTACTACTTTATGTTAAGATTAAGATTAGAAAAGCAGTTGACCTCTTTACAACCTGCATACTGCAACCAGTATTGGTCTGGTCTGCATCTCTATTATTGTCTAGAGTTCCTCATTAAGCTTAAGTATATTTTTTTTCTTTCCAAAAGGTAGATTGGGGATGATGGCCTCATCCCCGATCTACCTTTTGGAAAGGAAAAAATATATATTTAAACTGAGAAGGCTGATCAATCACCAAAGAAAATATTAAGCTTAAGGCTTTTTTAACTCATTGTTCTCATTGTCAAAGCTTTTTCAAGAACTCCCATGTGCGTTAGGCCCGAGCTTTTTTTCTCCCAGGAGTAGGAGAATCTTAGCTTAAGTAAGCCTTTGTACCAACAGTGAATCTATGATGCTGCAGTTTGGTTTGCTTCAAAAGGGCTCAGACGTCCTCATTGAACTTGTCTTGGCCAATTTATCGGTCTCTTCATTGCTCCTCTGCCCTGTGTGCATGGTATCCAGGCAAGGGTAATTTTGTTTTTTCCTAAAGTATGACAGGGCCCTAATACAATCCCAAACGACTCTGGACTTTACCACTGATTTGGTAATTTCCATCAGTTTTCCATCAGTACCACTTGACTGTCTGAGTTGATCACTGTTCTTCTGTTAACAATACGTGGCCAATACTTTATGTTGTAACTGATAAAAATATGTCAAACAACAGAATTTGTTTCAGGATAAACCAAAATGGGCGACAAGAGGTTCAATTTCTACGACAATGTCTGGGACCAGAGTAAATATTCAGGCAGATTTAAATATTTTGCCTGGGTGACAGATCCCAGATTGAACTTTGTTAGCAGCGAATGCCTTGACAGGGCTAAAACCCTCAGAAGTCTATATTTGTAAGCTTTTTAAATTTTGTATTTATTTGATTATGTATATTTTTTAAAATTTAATTTTGCTTGCAGACAGAAACGAGAACCTCCTGGTACAACCCAAGAGCAATTGCTGTACGCAAAGAAGTTGTACGACAGCGCTTTCCATCCAGATACAGGTGATAAGATGAACTTGTTTGGTCGCATGTCTTTTCAAGTTCCGGGAGGAATGCTTATCACTGGTGCCATGCTTACATTTTACAGGTTGATTTTTGTTATTCAAGTTTAATAATACTTAAAAATACTTAAACGTTGTGTTTAAATGGCAGAACTGTGCCCGCTCTTGTTTTCTGGCAATGGGTGAATCAGTCATTTAATGCTCTGGTCAATTACACGAATAGAAACGCAAACTCTCCTCTCAGCGTGAAACAAATGGGGTTCGCGTACGTTACAGCCACTTCAGCCGCCTGCGTCACGGCAATCGGCTTTAAGAATTTCCTCATGAAGAGATCTAATCCATTTATACAGGTTGGTTAGCATAAAAGGTATTTTACTACCAAAATCCCCCCCCCCCAAAAAAAATACTGTTTACTTTTATAGTTCTATAAATTTAAAATTTACTTTTTGGGTTTAGAGGTATGTTCCATTTGCTGCTGTCGCGGCGGCGAACTGTGTCAACATTCCGCTCATGAGGCAAAATGAACTAGTAAACGGCATTGATGTTTATGATGCAAAGGACAAACATGTTGGTGAATCTCGTGTAAGTAATACAACAATTAAATATATTACTTATAAATAATTAAATTACTTTTAATCAATTTTTGTTAACAGGTTGCTGCATTGAAAGGTATAAGTGAAGTTATCCTGTCAAGAATTGTCATGTGTGCTCCGGGAATGAGTACGTATTGTAAAAATTATTTATTGGATGCTTATATTTGCAAAATATATGCTATCCTAAGTAAAGTAAAGTAATCCAATCATACAGAAGGGCTTAATGCCCAACTATCATCAGTTGGGTGTCGAAGGGGGAGTAGCTAACACACACACATTCAGAGTATTTCAGTTGATTGTATGCTAATTTTCTTTTGTCAAACCTCATTAAAAATGGTACTAAAAACTTTTTGGTTTACAAATTCTTAAAAAAATTACACAAATTCTTTAACATTAAAAAAAGGCGTAATAAAATACAATGAAACTTCCTTATAGCTGTCTGTTTGAATGAGTGAGAGCCCACCCAACTTTGCTAAAATTATTTAAAACCTAGATCTACGGTTGGGAAAGCCTGGCATGTCGATATTTTCCTTGACACCCCTTCATTCATGCTAATAAATACATTCACACATAATAATAACCATACTATCATTATCCTAAGTCTCGATAGGTCTATCACATCTGTAGCTATTCGATATTCCACACAGGCCACATCCTTAAACACAATTAACCACTCATGCAAATAAATACATTCACTTCATAAAACTACATTGGTTTGTAGGTGGTGGGTACATGATATTCCATCACTAGCACACCCAGACTATAATGTTCATGCTAATAAATACATTGCTCAAATCAAGGATATTATTTCCATGGAGCAACCATATATATTTATCTGGTTCAGGTTTTGAATCACATTCTTATTATAATCACTACTGTGCTTCAAAAAAATGGTTAAAGTCTGCAGGCATACCACACCTTATTCTTTTGCAGAGATAATTCCTCGCACTATGTTAATATATGTTGTGCATAAAGGGCAGCTTTGTAGTCTTTCTTTGATGAGGAGATGCCCCAGTGTCAGACTGGTGTGGCCTATCACAGGCGTGTCAATATGATTTTTTTTCCTATTTCGTCCACCGTCCATGATTTGACTGACGGTTTTATTTAATATAGTTTATTGATCATGGTGGTCCGTTCTGCCATTCTTTCTAAAAATGATTTTTAAGATTTTTTACATCGCTGGACAAACCGGTGTTTCTGGGTCATGTAGGGACCTTGCTGCTTGTTTGGCTGCCTGGTCATCTTCATTTCTAAAAATATCCCGGATTTCTTTTCCTAGTTTTTTTAAATTAATTTTTTTTTCTCACAAATTTCTTGGATTAGTGGATTTGTGGAGAACATATTACAGATGCTAAGAAGGCACTCAATGCAGACGATATGGTTGTCAGTTATGTGTGGCCGTCCTAATATAGTGCACATCCCATCCCCTTCCTGCCCCTTGATCCGTTAGAATATGTAAATGTTACTTTAAGGGAGGGAATTTATATAAATATGTATGCTTTTTTATTTCTCTGTAAAGGATTGTATTCCATAATAGCTTACCTTCCTTTTGACATTAATGTTTTTGATCACATATTTCTTTTTATGTACACAATGGACATTTAATATATTTTTATTATTTATATCCATTCTAGTAGGTCTTTTTTGTTGAAGAATCAAGAGAGGTGGTTGCTTTATGTTTTCATTTAGAGAGATTTTACTGTACTTGACAAGAAACCGTGTTAAACTGAACTCAAAATACAAAACAATAATCATTATTATAGGTTGAAAGAGGTTGAAAGTAAATTTCCAACATGTTGTTTGCATGTCTGTTTTTACATTCGATCTCTACTATCAATTTTATTTGTTTATCAAATTATTTAATTGAAATGTTATAAAATCATTTATCATTTTTGCTTTTTTAGCCTTGTTACCCGTCATAATGGAAAGATTGGAACGTAATTGTACATTCAAAACAGCGGTTTGGGCCCATGCGCCATTTCAGACCTTGATGTGCGGTGGATTGTAAGTCTGCGATTATTAAGAAAATTTACCAAATTATTGACTGACGGTACATTTTCTTTTCAGTTTGCTATTCATGGTCCCAGCTGCTTGTGCTTTGTTCCCTCAAAGATGGTAAAATTATTTTCTAACGGATGATGGCAATTTTTCCTTGTTAACATTATTTATTACAATTTCAGTTCTTTGAAAACGGATACAATGAGAAAATTCGAGGCCGGCAAGTACTGTCAGATGACGAAGAAATACAGTAACGAAAATCAAATCCCTCCTGTGGTTTATTTTAATAAAGGCCTGTAAATAAAGATCAATTAACCGTAGGCAATAATTAGTTTAGTACTTAATTTTATGGAACCGGTAATAATCTAATCTCATAGATTATATTTTTTAGAAAATGGACTAATGTCCATATTATTTATTTAATATCACATCAAAACTGTTGTACTTTTTATCTGTCCTGTTGATTTTTATTTAAATTATTTAAACGATGCACGTTTTCTTCCCCCCTCAGGTCTACTGAGATCTGTTATTAAGACAATAATAAAATTATTGCACAAATAAAAAATTAATAAATTAAAATCCTCATTCCAAGATTAAATGAATCATTGTAAATTTAGAAAATTTTATTGTTTTTTACACATCTTGGTAATGAGGTGTTTATTTAAAAAATAAATTGTTTTTAATATATAGGATTTAATCCTGTAATAATGTTAAAAGAGACACAATATACATTACTGTTACTAGAACAATTTTTTTTTTTTTTTTTTTGTTATCTGTTTAAAACTAAAACATTTTCAACCTGAACAATGTGATGAATGTTGAATGGTGGATAATATAAAAAAATAATTTCCTGACCATCTTTAAAATATTATTAATTTAAATTAAATTAAATTTAAAATATTGAAAGAATTTTTGTTCAATGCCAAGAATATTTTACGATGAGTGAAAGTGTCATTTTTTTCCTTTTTCGTCAAATTTGTGCACTTTTGACACTCAATGTATGACTACCATAAAATTTAATTTAATTTTAATTAACGCTATTTGCAGAGTAGCATTAAATAAAACAAAAAGCGTGTTACAATTTCACATAGTTAACAGCTGGCTGTTAAGTATGAGTAAATTATATCGGATTAATCTTATCACTCAAGCAAATAAGAGAAGTTGAAACAATGTGCAAAAAAGACACAATTTAAATACACAATTTAAAGTGGATCTGGTGAAAAATTTTTGAAAGTAGCCAGTTATATTTTCAGTGTACAACAAGTTTTAGGCCGTACTGTCAATTCAGGTGATTATTGATTTACGTCAGACTATTTTAAAAGGATTAAAACCGTTTTTATAATTTATCGTTTTACCTATCATGGAAGTGAATAATCAAATGTGATACAATTCAAAATGAGCAGAAATAATGTTAGAAAAAGGCAAAAATATAATAGGTTGTCTCCAATCATCCTCATCTACATATTGAGATGGCCAGATAGGATTAATCAATGGTTAAGTTGTAGATATAAAAAAATTGTCTCACAAAGATAAAAATTTATTTAATATGTACATTGTAGATGTTTAAATATGTAGATTGGTTGTCTCCAATCATTATGATCAACAAAACCTTGCTGGTTTAGATAGGCCAACTGAAACGTCTAAGATGATCAAACTACAGGTTCATAAAGTAAGACTACTTCATTAGACCGTTAATATTTTATACAATTCAAATTGAGATGAAATTATGTTGAAAAAGACAGAAATATGTAGATTGGTTGTCTCCAATCATTATGATCAACAAAAGCTTGCTGGTTTGGATAGGCCAACTGAAACGTCTTAAGATGATCAAACTACATGTTCATAAAGTAAGAATAGTTCATTTGACTGTTAATGTTGTATACAATTCAAAATGAGCAGAAATGATGTTAGAAAAAGGCAAAAATGTAATAGGTTGTCTCCAATCATCCTGATCTACAAATTGAGATGGCCAGACAGGATTAATCAATGGTTAAGTTGTAGATGTAAAAAAATTGTCTCACAAAGATAACATTTATTTAAAAACTTGTAAATTGTTCGATAGATGTATTTGTCGGGGTGTGTTTTAGACTGTGCACTTTAAGAGCTATTGAATCTTTCGTTCTGTGCTTAAAGCACACCTAGTTCATCAAGGAACTTGCAGTAGGCCCGGTTTCATTGTAAATTGTTCTGTAAGTTTTAATTTTCAATGTATTGGTGTGTGATTTAGCAACATTGGAAGGGATAAAGTTCATATTTGAAAAACAAAAAAAACAAACTGGTAATGTCGGTTTTGTAAAGTGCAAAGTTTTTGGGGTTCAGTGTGTACATAAATGTAAAACGTGCGAAATGCAGTTTTATGCTTGATTTCACAATCAATCTATTTTTGAATGTAAAAAGTGAAATTCATTGGGCCAACAGTTCGGCTTCGGGTCGCCAGGGTGTCAAGAAAACACGGAATTTTAAATTTAGAAACAATTCTATTTCAACGTTTGAGCCCCTCAGTGAAAAATTGTCCAATCAAAACCAATTTTTTCTTTTCAAATAGAAACGACAAATAGCATGCTATTGAATTATTTTTCGAATATTTCTTTTCGTGTTGTTAACGGTAAAAATCGTTGTGGAAAGGGGACAAACAGGCCCTCTCTTATCTAATCCGACGAGTCCCCCGCTACTCGGCTCCCCTATCGAAGTTGTCAGCCGAGAATTGGGAATTGGAATGAGATTTGTGTCGGAACTGGAAGTACGTCCGTCTCGTGCTCATTATCCGCGGGACGAGAGACGCTTCGCCCAATCCGACGAAAACGTCTCCGTCTGCTGAGCGAACCGGTTTCGACCGCTGGCCGGGCCCGGTATCTCGATTCTCCTTTCAAAATGATTCCACCCAGAATTAAAATATTCTGAACATCCAAACGATAGACTAGGTAAGATTTTTTCTTCTCTTGTCTCATCTATTTGCATTCTAAATTAAATCATAAGGCTAGAGTATTTTTAGACTGGTTTTATTGACATACGTTTTTAAAATTGTATAATACACTTTCCTGCATTGTCCAAATATAAAACAAAGCAATGTGCCAGGGGTACTTAAAGGTGATTTGTATGTAGCACCATTGACCATCAACAGCCTGCTCTGTCTGACACATTCCACTTAAGTAGGTTGTGCTATATTTCAGATCAATTTATGATGACAGATGTGTCATTAAACTACTCTCATTCAACAAAACCGATTTGATTTTCTTCAGTAAACACACCAAAATATAAATTTTTTTATGAAATGCCATCCTTAAAACTTTCTCCTTTATTGTATAAAACTATAACGTTTTGTGGCATGAATTGAATCACAAGGTTAAACAGGAATCCGGGCAAAGACTGTCCTTAAACACTGTATTCCATATAAATATTATGTTGGGACATCAGGGTGGAAAAAGATAAGTTTTGCACATTCTACTCAAGGACAGGGTGCTATCATTCAAATTTGGCGATAATGGTCATTAAATCATCACATGTCTGTCATTCTCTTTTTATATGTGACTTGCAATTTGGATATTGATCACTATCAAAAAGTAAAGATGGCATGGCTAAAATTGCTTTTCTGAATTTATACAAGATTGTAGTGCTATCATTGAGATTGATGAATGATAATGAAAATCAATTGTTAAATCATTTTGATGCGAGGCATCGAGTAAATGTACGATTTCTTTTTTTCTGTTTAAAAATTGGATATTCTAGACTCTCACAAAGTAAAGAAAACATTGGTAAATTAAATTTTTTTTAAAATTTATTCAAGGCCGTAATGTAATCATTCAGATTGATTAATGATAATGAATCAATTGTTCAACCATTTTCATGCGAGGCATCGAGTAAATGTACAATTCTTTTTCTGTTCAACAATTGGATATTCTAGTAATTTACAAAATAAAGAAAACTGGTAAAATTGCTTTTCTGCGTATATTCAAGATTGTAGTGCTATCATTCAGATTGATTAGCAATGATGAGCAAATCCTTAAACCATTTGAATGCATGAGTTTTTTTTCCTGTAAACACACCAGGATATTCTAGTCTCTCACAAAGTAAAGAAAACATTGGTAAAATTGTTCTTTTTTAATTTTTTTAAAAATTTATTCAAGTTATTCAAGGCCATAATGTAATAATTCAGATTGAATAATGATGAACAAATCTTTAAACCATTTTAATGCATGAGTTGATGGTTTTTTCTTGTTTAACAGTTGGATATTCTAGACTCTCATAAAGTTAAGAAAACATTGGTAAATGAATTTTTTTTAAATTTATTCAAGGCCGTAATGTAATCATTCATATTGATTAATGATAATGAAAATCAATCGTTAAATCATTTTGATGAGAGGCATCGAGTAAATGTACCATTTTTTTCTGTTTAACAATTGGATATTCTAGATTCTTACAAAGTAAAGAAAACATTGGTAAATTTTTTTCCATTTATTTAAGACTATAATGTTATCATTCAGATTGATGAGCAATGAGGAATCAATCATCATACTATTTTGTTGAATTGAGTAAACTTGATGCATCAAAATGGTTTAATGATTGTTTCATCACCATTAATCACTCTGAAAGATTACATTATGGCCTTGAATAAATAAAAAACCAAGCAAAAAAAATGTCTTTACTTTGTGAGAGCCTGCAATATGCAATTGTGAAACAGAAAGAAACAACATACATTTACTCAATGCTTTGCATCAAAATGGTTTGATGATTGATTCATTATAATTAATCAATCTCGATTACATTATGTCCTTGAATAATTTTTTTTTCTGCTTAACAATTGGATATTCTAGACCCTTACAAAGTAAAGAAAACATGGTAAAATTGCTGTTTTGAATTTATTCAAGACTATAATATTATTATTCAGATTGATTAGCAATGATGACTCATGTCATTAAACCATTTTGATGCTCGAGTAAATGTATGATTTTTTTCTGTTTAACAATTGTTTTTATCAATAAAAGACCAAATATTAACAAGTTTAGTACATCAAATAATTTTTTTGCCATGTTAGCAATTGGATAATATACCAGTGCTTACCAAACTACTAGGGTCGCCATGAAAATTTTTTATAAAAATATTTTTATATTTATAAAGATATCATGAGATACGGTCGGATGTGATGTAGGTTTCAGAAAAACATTTTCTTTATCGTGCCAACGTTTCGATCTTTTTTGAATTCNTGTAACTCTTCTTGAGGAGGGTGTGTCCTACTATTCTGGAAAATATGCTGATGCTACAACCCCTACTTTCTTACCAGCTTTTGTTATTTGTATTTTAACTGAGACTAGATCTTTTGTAATAATTGTGTACTATTGTATCTAATGAAATATTCCCGATTAATGTTTTGCCATGATTTTATATTTGCAGGGACTTGAAAATTTGCATTCAAACCTTTTAGTTTTTTTCATTACATTTATATTTGTTTGGCTGTTGCCTTCGATGATATGCTTCTGTGGCCAGGAGATAGAAACAGAGGTGAGGTTTTTATCAGATTTGTTTTCATGAGAAGTTTAACATTTTTTTTTATGAACAGAGTGAAAATATACACAGACTGCTGCATTACAACTCATGGTTTCAAAGAAGTCCAGAAAATAGGAAAACAGTGTTTTTCCAGATGCTGATGATGTCAAAGCCCCTGAAGTTGCATTTCAGAAATTTTATTGTGTTTAACGTTGCACAACTTGCTGGGGTAAGATTTAATACTTGCTGACTATAAAATAAAATAAAATAATCTTTGTTATTGCAGGTGTTACAATCGGCCTACACAGTCATGACAATGATGCGATTATTTTTCAATTGAATACTCATTAAAGTTGTCATTATTTACAGTTACATTGTAAAATAATTTATAGTTAGTGCACTGAAATTTATATTTATAAAAAAAAAAAACTTAAATAGTATACCCCCCTTTATAAAACTTTAACAACTAAGATCCTGATGGCCATCCAATCTCATTATCAATGTTTATATTTTTGCTATTAAGTGCGTAATCGCTTTTCAAAAGGGAAGTTTTACTATTCCACAAGAAAGTCAGGAGTTTCGATAATTTATTAAATAAAATAAGAGGTTTTGATATATTAATGCTTTTCTGAATTGAAAATGAATTACTAAGTTTACGCTGAGATAGACCATTGTCTTGAGGTGCCGCAGAAAAAGTCTGATATGTTAAGAGTGCCGGAAAAAGAAAAAGTTTGGGAATCACTGATTTATGCTGTCATAAAGCAAAACTGCACAACTTTTCATAATGTAATGAACGTCTCAATATTATCAATCAGAAAGATTAAAACTAGATTAGATTATGTAGGAGCCGCCTCTTTACTTCCTGTGCACCACAACCAGTATTGGTCTATTGTGCATAAGATTAAACTTAACGATTGATCCTATAGACAAGTGAATGAATATTCTAATAATTTTTTTTTAAACCTTCAATAACAAATTGACGTGATCATACTCAATGACATTCTTGGTCTTCATCTGAGTGGATTAAGTTCAACAAGTAAATGAATGTTGTTTGTTTTATACTATCAGCAGTTTATTGCACCCCGTCTGTACCCATATATCCTCCCCAATTAAAATCCATCTTTCGCTCCCTTGGACGCCGGTTTGTGGCTGGGGGAGATTTCAATGCCAAGCACCCGCAATGGGGTAGCCGAATCGCAAATTCCCGTGGACGCCTTCTCCAAAATATCATTTTAACAGATAATTATTCCTTTATCTCTCCTAACCAACCCACATATTGGCCATCTGATCCCAATCGTCTCCCAGACCTATTGGACTTCTTTGTTGCCTCTGGCTTGGGATCCATCTCCCCAACTATTCAGNTCCTTCCAATCGAAAGTCCTTAGACAAATTGTTAAAGCACCCTATTATGTCACTAACCTCACTATCCACAAAGACCTCAACATTCCTTTTGCCAACGAACTAATCCAGTCCAGATTCCAAACCTTCCAAACCAACCTTTCAAACCATCCTAACCATACGGCTCGAGCCCTATTCACTCATTCCCATCCTGACAACCCACCACGATGCCTCAACCGACGATGGCCTCGGGACCTCCTTGATCCCTAATCATATAAACTGAGTGCCAGCAATGGCTGGCTCCTCAAAGCATGTGTTCTACCGGTGCAGTGCTGGCATTAGTGCTAGTGTTGTGCTGTGTGATATTTCATGCATGTGTACATATTTGTATAGTACACAATTCTGTATAGGTAACAAATAAATAAATTAAAAAAAAAAAATTTTATACTGCTCAGTAATTTGTATGCTCTGAAATATCTCGGCCAAAGTATTACCATTAAGCTGAAGATGAATAGATGCTTATTACTAGGAATCGGATTTCCTAGAGATTAAATATAAATTATGTACATGTTTTATGTATTTATTTTGTAACAAATATGGAAATAAAAATGAAAAATATTAAAATAAAAAACATTAGGTTACGCATTTTTTTATTTAAATGTGAAATCAGTTTGATAATTTATACAAGTGAAAAAAGAAGATTCACTTCCTAGATGATAAAAAGATGATAAAATAGAAAATGAACCTTTAACTTTAAAATTTATTTGAAATCACACACATTTTTAAATTTTTGTAAATAAATATGTAACATTCTAGTGCTAAAAAAAATGTATAAAATAAAAATGCATTTTAAAAAAATGATTAAAGAATTATACTTATTTATTTAGAAATTAGTTATTTTAAAAAAATATGAAAAAGATATCAAATAAAAATGTAAAAAACGCCGTTGTTGGAAACTACTAAAAAGGCTATTTCAGTCATGTTTGTCCAAACTTGGAAGTAGGATCTTGCTGTTCAATCTAAAATTATTTATTGTGAAGTTTTTGGTGAGGACAAACTATGACCTCACACTGCAGTCATTTCATTCAATCCAAAATCCTCAATCGAGCCGTATAACACAAATTTCACATCTGCCCATGAGAGTCAAATTCCATTGTAACTCTACCGCAGTCATACTTCTCTGTTTTAAATAAATCATAAATAATCTCAAAATTGTGAGCGAATAAGTGTCATGCAAGTGATGTGGCCCTCGAGGGATTTGTAAAATAAGTCTGTAGCGTTTTTCAATAATTTGATTTGCAATCATTAAAGTTGAACGACTGGCATTAGCTAATTGCAAGGGATTTGTTTTCCCTCAGGATAATGCTCACCCCTACACGTCTTTGCAGTAGCTCCAAAAATTTTGCAGCTTGGCTGGGACTTATTACTACACCCACCTTATTCTCCTGACATAACCACTTCAGATTTTCAATTATTCAAGGCATTACAAAATTCGACTAATGGGAAAACTATAGTCAAGTACAGCAGAAAACACGGATGGAGGAGGGAATTAGAAAATTACATGAAAGATGGCAACAGATAGTGGAACAAAAAGATTTATATATTGTTGCCTAGATTTATTTACAAATACCTGAAATTTTCATTGAATTTACCATCCAAAAACGCTATGGACCTATTATAATATTGTAAAAAATAAACAAATAGAAAAATTAAAGCGCTTTTCTTAAATATTGGTAGCATTATGTGCCTACAAAAAAGGTCACAGATCTGCTTTACATAATCTGGGTTCGCAGTGTTACTTTTCAGATTAAATTATGTTCGCTGCTCATCTTTGGAGACAAGGATAAACTATTACATTTTTGGTCAGTCAATGGCAAGTAGATTTTAAACGTAAAGAATCCCTCTTAAAGCTGTTCAAAGCATCTGAATTATTTTAGCTCAAAATACAGACAGCGATTTAAAAAAAAAAAAATTAAAGTATATTGATCTGCTTTGTAATATCTACCTAATAGTAGTACTATTATCTTTCAAAACACTTTATAAATTTAGATTTTCTAAGATAACAAATAGAATAGTCTATAAAAGTAATTAAACCTTTTATTTAAAATTATTCTATGAGTAGTTTAATTATAATGTTAAAACATGAATTTTTAGATGTCAGACAAAATTAGCTGAGAATCCATACTTGAACATTATCGCGAAAAAATTATTTTATGATAAGAACATTTAGAAGAAAAATAATTTATTCTTAGCACCATGAAAAAAAAGAAAAAATTAACATGAGCCTGTTATCTTTCAGATGGAATGATTACAAAAACAAATCCTTCACTTTGAATGAAAAACCTTTTTTTTATAACTTGATTATCAAGGAAATCAAGTTGATCGGTATCACAAAAAATCTGGTCTTTTAATGAAATAGAATATGATCGCAACACGATATACTGGGAGGAATTGATATATTTATGTTATGCTCCTTTTTTTTTCATGATAAAAAGCAAAGAGAAACGTTTTTTATACAGTAACATGAACCATTCTTTAACCGCCTGCATAGATTATACTGGTTTTAAATTTTTTCAAAAGTCTCTTCAACTCTACAGTGATAAATAAGATTTCAGGGCGTGTAGTTAACTCTTGTTGGGATTCTGCAGCTTAAGGAAATCATAGAAATATAATTACAAAAAAGTGGTCAGCACAGTAAGGCCTTATGACATTTGATCAATCAGAAATGATAATCAAACAACACAATTTCATTACTTTAAAAAAACTCAGTCTTTATAATTAATATAAATGATCTTATTCAATAGATTTAATTATATAAAATAAACTGGTTATACTATAAAATTCAAATTTAACTCAACTCTGATTTTATCTTATTTTTTACAGCAAAATGGGACGAATCAACAAAAATCTACTGCCGATAAAGGCTCACTTTTTCTTCTTCATGTCAGGTAATTATTTTGATATATTTTTCATACGAAACAAACAAAAACTGAAATATTTGTCGAATTTAAGCCATGGGCCCAATCTTACCGTACCTGCCAGTGTTTGGGAGGATGCTCGGTATATCAGAGCTGGCCATTGGTACGATTAACGCCGTTTTGCCGATAGTCAACATCGTGATTAAACCAATATTCGGCTATTTGCTCGATTTCTTCAACAATAGCAGAAAACTCATTTTCATCCTTGTTCTCCTCTTTACCAGTGTGATATTCCTCTCTATGACTTTTATCCCACAGGACCTGAAATTAGTTGAAAATATGGAATGCAATAAATTGCCAATTTGTGAAGGAGAGGTAAATATTTACAATCAAGTTTATTTATGTTCTGGTGAGATGGGCGTTTTTTGTTTTTTTTTTCAAATTAAAAATAAATGTCATTATATCACATAAAAAAATAATTATTTGTTTTGGAATCCAAATTTATGATAATAATTAAGAAATTATTTAGTTTAAACTTTTTTAGTATTTTCAGAAAGAACATATAAATGTTTTGTGTATTGTACTGACAAATTTGATTATAAAATTAATACACTAGTATACTAAGGATTTAAAACAAATTACCAACTGAGGAAAAGTGAAGTTTTGTTGAAATTTTAGATCACACAAGCTGGTAAAAGTAAACCAGGTTTTACACGTGAATTTTGCATCTGGGAGTGCCCCCGGGAGAGCGTCAAACTCCATGTTTTAATTTCCAGGGATAATAAGACGTGCTCGATTGGAAAAAGGTTGCAGTGTGCAGATAAGGAAGTGTGCAAGTTGAGATGCCGGGATCATAAGTCTGGGACATACCTCAGTCCACAATTCTGGCTATTTGTCATATGCATAGCCCTGGGGAATGCAGGCTTTGCCGTTTCCAACTGCCTCAGCGATGTGATATGCTTCGATCTCCTTGGTAATTATTTGCCAATTTTTGTATGATCTTGCTATTGACAGGCTGGTTAAACAGGCGCTGGTGGTGAAAATGCTTACGGCAAGCAAAGAGTGTGGGGCTCGATTGGATTTGGGCTGGTAGCATTCTCCGGATCGTTACTTCATTATTTGTACAGCAACACAAACTATACTTCAACAGACTACATGCCTGCTTTTCTTTTGGCGACATTTTGCATGATCATTGATTTATTATGCTGTACTAAACTGAAGGTAAGTTGTCGTTAAAAAAAGGAAAATGTTTCATGCTATAAAACAAGCCTAGTTTGTTACAAGAATTAAAAAAAACTAATTTTAAATTTTTTATTTCAGCTGCCGGCATTGCCAAAGTCCTCAGGTATCATGAAGGATGCACTACAAGTGCTGAAGAAGCCCCAAGTTGCCGTCTTTATTGTTTTCGCCGTATTTATTGGAATTTGTGACTCTTGCGTTATATTTTTCCTCCTTTGGTAAATGTAATAAATATTTGTTCTTAAAGGACTAAACCATATCTTTTAACGTTGATTTTTAGGCATTTAGAAGTCTTAGCAGAATCGACTGGCTACTCGAGCAGCATTGTTCTGCTTGAGGGGATTGTCATCGCCGTTGAGACCCTCTGTGGAGAAGTTGTATGTTTTTTCTTTGCAGGTACAAACTTTGAAATCTTTCGCTGTTAAGTGAAGATTTAATTTGATTTTTTGTTTATGCAGGTAAGGTGATAAAGAAGGTCGGCCATGAAAATTGCATTACTCTTGGGTTTGCAATTTATGTAATTAGGTTTTTCCTTCTGGCATCTATTCCCACGCCGTGGTGGTCGGTACCTATCGAGCTGTTTCTCCAAGGTCCAACTTATGCGCTGCTTTACAACACAGTAGTTGCTTACGCTAGCATAGTCGCACCTCCTGGGACCTCAGCCACTGTGCAGGGGCTTGTAGGAGGAATGGATGACGGGCTAGGTAAAAACCATTAGAAAATTCTTCTCTAGCCTTGGCATAATGGGAATTTCACAGGCTTTGCGATTGGAAATCTACTTGGCGGAATTATTTTAAAACTATATGGTGGACAGACATTGTTCTACACAGCTTCCGGATTTGCTGCGTTCTGCTGTCTCCTTCACTCTGTTCTAAACAAAAAAACACGCGAATGTGTTGTGATAGGCAAGGAAAATGTTGAGGCTCAAAAATCTGGTATGCATTCGTTAAAAAAAAGTAAAATAAAATAAATGTAATAAAATAATCATGATTTGTTATGTTAATTGACAGTTCTGCTTAAAGAGAATTCCGATGTCATTGTTTCTCTTTTATCAAAGAATGCCCCAACGGAAAAATTGACTTCATCAAAAGAAGGAAATACAATCGAAGGTAACTTAAGTTTTCTTCTAAATTGTATTTTTATCATTTATAAAAATGCCAAATTTTTGCAGATCTGTTGAACCAAGAAAGCAAGTTGAAGCACTCTGAAGGAGGGGACATAAGTTGAAACGTGAAGAGTTCAAGCTTGGGTCCGAAATCAGTTTGCAATATTTTTCCAATTTTTTAGACTGATATAATGCCATAGAAAATTATGTGATCTCTCATCTTTGAGCGAAACTTTGATCCAATGTTGTTTTGTACTTATATTTGTTAAAGAATTTATCTCCTGGAAAAATAATATTTATATTTTTCTATATGAATTATATAATTTTATATAATAATTTTTTTTAATTGTTAAACAAGTACATTTGAACAGTTGTACTTTGTTCAAAAAAACTGATAGGAAAATGGTTAGCACTACTCATCATAGTCATAAATCGCCCAGTGCCATAAATGAATTAAACTCTATTTATTAAAAAAATATTATTAAAATTATAAAAAGTCATCATTTGTAAATAAAACATTTTCTATTTATTAAAATAAATTGTTCATTTCCAAGAAATAGACAATTAAAAAAATTAAAAAAGAAGACAATTTGCTATAACAATGTTTTGTACTAAAACTAAATAAAATAAGTATCACAGAATTTTTGAAAACGTTCCTCTGCAGGAATGCAGTTCTAGAGCATGAAATCCAATGTGGTTTGAACAGACTGGCCAGTAGCCGAATCTACTGCAAAAGCGGTAACTTCAGTCCCACCGAAGATGAGGCTGACGACTATCTCTCGCAACTTCGGGTCCGATGTCTTTGGGAGGACCAGCCTCAGCCGTCCGCATTTGTGCACATTTGCGTCCGTGATGAACTGTAAAAAAGAAACGTTTTAGTTTAATCTCTAGTTGTCTGTATGGGGCAGGTGTACCTGTGCAGTTTTTGACACAGTCGCGTAGACTTGTAGGACGATCTCAGACTGTTTGGTCGAAGCTGGGGTGTACTTCTTCGACACTTTCTGCCCGAGTGAAACCGGCTGGCCAGACTCTATCAGCCTTTCTAGGACATCCACACACCACCTTTGGCCTCCTCGGATGACCAGTTTATCTAAAATTCCACAAAATTTTATACAACCTTCATTTCAAAATTTTTAAAAATAAAATACCAATAGGATGAATCCCGTTCAAAAATGGCTTGACCACACCAAGCCCGTAAGTATGCGTTACTCTACGAGATGTAATGATGCTCGGGTTCATCCCATAAAGAACTCCGCCTTTTAGAACACTCAGACTTACTGCCTGAAAAAAATTATTGTAAATCTTCATAATCTTCAATATTTGACTTTTAGGGATGGTTAGGGATGACTTTATGATTTTAGGGATTTGACTTTTAATAAAAAAAGAAAAAAAAACCTGTGGTATTATAATGTGAACTCTATCAGAAAAATTATCCTTGATAGCCTCCTGCAGGATCTGTGATTCTGAAAATCCACCGACTAAGAAGAGATAGCTGATAGTGTCGTCCAGCCTCCTGCTAGAGAGGATCGCTTCAACATGCTGAAACAGAATCTCAATGACAACATTTCAAAATGAAACAAAACGTTTTTGAAAATCATGATAATTACCTCAATGATTTTATCAAGGGTGGGCTGGAAGAGCTGAAACATGAGCGAAGGGTGGATCTTCATGATGCCTTCATTGGACCAGCTTAGTTCAGGGCATCCATATTTCTTAATAGCTGTTTCAACCTAGATCAATAAAAATGTAAAAGCAAAGATACAAAAAGAGAAAAACTTAACTTACCTCCATTCCTGATATCTGTCGGAAAAAGTCAATGAAAGCAAATGGCAGAAATATGTTTAGTGAGGAAGACCTATAAGTGGTGCAGCTTCTTTTTCTACTTTCAAAACTTAGCATAAGTTCGTTGTATGCTGCTGACCTCTCTTGCCTGAACCTCTCCATGAAGTTCGGCCCAAACACAACATCCAGCAGTTTGCTGAATTCTTCATCGATCCCTGATGTTTAAATATCAAAAAGTCCAGTTAAAAAAGCAGTTCCATGGGAAATATCGTATCTTAAGTTTTAAATTAAATATGTTAGATATTTTTTAGATAAATTATTTACCTAAAGAACCACAAGGTCCTCCAGTTGCTTTGTGTAGCTCCCTCAAAGTACCGTTTTGTGAAGAAACATTATGCACGGTTATGTCGACTGTACCTCCGCCACAGTCCACAACCATGTAACTCCCTGAGAAAAACCAAACAACAAAATTAGTTTTATAGTTTTAACTAAGCCTTAATAAACCTTACCTGATTTGGTTGATCCATTTTCAATTTTGATTATTTGGTCAAAGTGCAGGTGCCGACAGCAGACAGAGGCAGCTTCTGGTTCCAAAGCAATAAGGAGCCGGTCTGAATTTTCTGGACTGCAGATGTCAGCCTTACCAAACAACCAAACAAATAAACCAACCTTTTTTAAGCACTCATGTCTATGTTAAACCATAGTTTTAAAAATAATTGAAAAAAATCTTGCATACAAAGTAAAATTTTAGTTCAATTCTTTTATTAAGAAGATAAAATGGAACTAAATTATTATTAAGACTACTGTATTTTTTCCTTTATTTATTTACACCTGCTCTAATAGTTGCGCTTAAGTAAATTTGATAACATAGACAACAAAACACATTAATAAAACATTTTATAACAATTGTTCCCAAGTTAAACATAATCATTTAATGCTGTCCCATCAAACAATACAATAATAAGAAAAGTCTTGTGATTGGATATTACCATGTAGGCAGATTCTCGGATGAACTGCTTGGCCTGTTGCGTCCAGAGTGCTGGGACAGTAATGACCCACCTGAGAGTCGGCATGATTCCGTGATCGCTTATCTCCTTGTAGACTTGGTCTTTCAGGTAGTGGAGAGTTTGGCTGAAGACAGACAGAGCAGAAACGCTCTTTCCGTTCACTGCATTCAGCTGTGTATCTCGATTTACATCCTGAAATAAAAAAAAAATCTGGTATTTAAAGTCTATTTTAAGCATTGTGATGAAAAACAATTTTTTTTTCTTTTGTTGGCATCAGATATGAAGTCATGGCTTAATCTAAAGAATTGCGTAAGTTTTAGAACTTCCTGCTAGGCAGTATTACATCTACATAATTTAAGCACTGATTTTTATTTGAATCACTTTTGAGTATTTGTACCCTGAATTTATTATCTGTTTTTCTCAATTAAATAAAAAATAATTGATTCATTTATTTGAAGGATATATAAAAAAACACCTTGAACCATAGAAGTAATGATGACTAAAAAACTTTCAGGTATACTTATAAATTTTATTAATATTTATTTACCATATTGTTATGCAGATTTATTTTGAATTTGTCAAAGTAGAGCCACTCTTTTGCTTCTTGAGGGTCTAGGTCGTGGTAGGCGTCTCGTGCACCATAGCCAAAAGAGTGAAACTTTTCTTCCGGCGTAAGTAGAAGGACTGTCGGCACCTTTTGGTTGTTTAGACCTCTATCGCCCCCTAAAAAAGTTTCCAGTTCTCTTATGGGTTTTAAACTTGACTAGTTTTAACTAAGAACCTTCAGATTGTCGCATCATATGTATCTGCCTGTCTGTCGGGTGCTTAGCAAATGCAAAAGCGTAACCAGTGTATGTGGTACCGATGTCGACGGATACGACAACATCGAAATCGTTTGATTTCTGGGTTTTGTGGTTTTCCACGTTCACGACTACTTTCTCGACAAAGCAGCTTCGTCGAAGGTTGACATCTTCCAGTCCGTCAAGCTCAACCATAGGGATGTTTGGAGTTTTCTCAGCGTATGACTCAATCTGTTCTGCACAAATTATCCCTGAAAATATGAGGATTTATTAAATGTAATAAAAAAATTATTTCTGTGTGTTCAAATAAACCTATCAAAATTCTAAATTTCTAGATATGTCCTTTAAATTTGCAAAAATGTTCAGTTATTTGTTATGTCAATTTTATCACTGGTACAATCAATACTTCCATTACTCATTCTCTCTTTCACTTCTTCCACCTTTTTTCCATTTCTCTCACTCTCTCTATCTCCTGTCTATTATATTTTGTTTCTCTCAATTTCTCTTTCTCTTTCTCTCTCACGCTCACTCTGCCTTTTAATCCCTCTCCCAATCTCTTTCCCCTTCTCCATATCTTTCCCTTCCTATCAGTCTCTCTTTCACTCTCTCCCACTTTTTATTTCCCTCTCCCTATATCTTTCCTTTTTTTCAGTCTCTCTTTCTCATCCTTTTTCTCTCTTTCTCTCTGATTCCCCTCCTTCCAGTCCAAGAAATCTCTTTCTCCCTTTTTACATCTCTCCCTCACTCCCCATTTCACATCATATTTCTCTTTCTTTGTTTCCCTACCTTTGTCCAGTACTTTGTGATTTATCAAAGCTGGTTTATTTAATTTTAAATTGTCCATATTGTCTTTCACTTTTCTCCCTCTCTGCCTCACTTTCTTTTGTTCTCTCTTTCTCTCTCTCTCTCTCTCTCTCTGTCTTTCTCTCCCTCTCCTAATGTCCCCTTCTCTATCAAATTCCTTTTCTCTCAGTCTCTAATTTTCACCCTTTTGTTCTATCTCTATTCCCACTCTTTTCCCTTCTATATCTCTTCCCATCACTTCCTCTTTCTCTATCTCTATTTCCCTCATTTTCTTTCCCTTTCACTCTCTCTTTCCTTTTCACTACATTCCTTCTTTCCTCTCGTGTTTCTTTCTTCTTCTTTATCTCCTTCAATTTCCCTCGCTCTATCTTTTTCACACTCTTTCTCTATCTCTCTCACTCACTTTATCTTTATTGATCTCTATCTCACGCCCTCTTTCCCCTTGTCTCACTCTATCTCTCAGTACTTCTCTATCTCTTCTACTTTCCCTCTCTCTATCTTTTTCACTCTTCTTCTATTTCCCTACCTTACTCCCTTATATCTCTTTCCCTTTATACTTATCTAGCTCTATCTCACTCTGTATTTCTCTCACTCTCTCTTTCTTACCCTTCTAACTCTATCTCTATTTCAATCCCTTCTTTGTTCTCTTTTTCTTCTTCTTCTCTCTCTCTCTCACTGCCTTTCTCTCGTTCTTTTTTCTTTCTCTCCCTTTCTCTACTCTTTCCCTTTGTCTGCCAGTCTCTATCTCTCTTACTCCTTACCTCTTTCTCTCCCTCTCTATCTTTTTCTTTATTCTTAATTTACCTACCTTTCATGCCTTATCTGTTTCACTATATATTCTCTGCCGTTTCTCTCTATCATTACCTCTCTCACTCTTTTTCGAACTATATCTATCTCTCTTTTCTCTTATTTCTTTCTCTCTATTACTCTTAATCTCTCTCTTTCAAACTTTTCTATCTATATCTCTCCCCTTCATTCCTCTTTCTTTTTCTCTATCACTATTTTTCTATCCCTTTCACTCCTCTTTCTTATTTTCTCACCTTCCTCTCTATCTGTCTCCCTCTTTTTCTCACGTTCTGTCTTTTTTCCTTTCGCTTACTACCTAAAAAACTGTATATGATCGTACATTGTATGTCGTTGTTTTGATGTGATAGTATTTGATTTTGCCTCATTGTCTTTCAGTCATAGTTCTTTTATTTATTTCATGAAGTTCAAAGAATTTTTTGTTTAAATTTTACTGGTGGGGAAACAGGCGAAAGTTGTTATTTGACAGGCGTGTCATTGTCTTAGTATAAGTTTAATTTTGAATTCACCTTTTGTGATGGAGTGTTTGGCAACATAGACCTCTTCCACGAGGTTATCAGTCTCTTTTCCGCACTCCAAGCTGCTGTCGGAACTGCACCCGACTGGAGACATCCTTGGCGTCATTACACATAGCTGACTGCGAACACAATTTCCTCAGAGGTCAAAAAATTTTTTTTGTTGAATTCCACAAAATTCTTCTTCACCTGTTGAAAGCTTGTGCAAGGCTCTCTGGTTGCGAGGCCTGCGAGCCCGTCGGCGAGATCGACCCATTGATCCCAGAGTCCATAGACGCTCCAAGGACCCCATTCTCTATCGTCAATTCTCCTAGAAACAAGACATAATTTGAATGTTTGTTTTTATAATTGTTTAGTCAGCAACTCAGCAACGATACTGTGTTGCAATATGTCAATGCTTCTTTATTGTAATTGTTTTACTAAACATTTCGTGAAAGTTTATATAAGAACGCATAGGCGAATTATAAAATACACCTTTGAAGAATATTTAATCAAGTCATACATCGAAGGAAGTCTCACGGTTATGAATTTAATTAAAAATAAACAAAAAGGCAAAGAGGAAATGGTCGTAAGCGTGATTAAAACTTCAAAAAGCTTCCGGGACACGACGAGGCTGTGCTTATCTTAATTATAACTTGTCTATATCGATAATCTTTAGAGTTCAAATATATAATTTACTTAGTAAAAGACATAAATTCACTTGAGTCCAACATTGATTTTACTCTTCGAAACTACACTATAGTTTGATCAACCATCATCCAGGACACATAATTTACACCCTTATTTGTAATTGGTTTCTAACAATTCTTTCCCCACTGCATTGTTAGAGAAATAAAATTCATAAATTGTAAAAAAATTTCACCCTCTGCCACTAGGATGCACAGTAGCCCTTAAGTTTCCCTTTACTTACTTAAATTGCATACTATATTTAAGTAAATAAAACTTCAAACTTCAAACATTCCAGTAGTTTAATGTATTCCGATCGTTACTTTATGAATCCTCTTAGGTTAGGTTAATTGTGAATTGTGAGAATTGTTTCTTAAGGTGCTTAAAGAGTTCCATCGCTGAAAGTAGTCGTGACGAGTTGAAAAGGTACGGTGATTAACCTTTGGCTGGAATGCTTTTCCTTTGGATGTCGTATTTCTCCTTTTGAAAACTTCCGACAGCCAAGCAGACGGTGAAATAAAAAACAGGCACAATAAAAATTAAGGGCTTCATTAAACCCCCTGCAGTCGAGCATTTGAAGAGTAGATAAGAAATGAAAACGACTCCTTTCTTGTTTTGAGGAGTAAATGGGCTTTCGAAAGAAAGCTGTATTCTATTACCGATTATGCCCGCTTTATGTCTTGAAATCTTCGGACAATTAAACAAGAGATGACTCTGATTCCTTGACCCATTGAGGCCTGGCGTCTATTTCAATGAACAAAATATTCTTTTCATCAAAGTTGAAACTTTTAATGTTTTGCTCAAATGTGTATATGTACATTTATTACATCTTTTTTTTAAATATTCATCCTTAAACTACTGCCAAACAACTTATCTACCTGCATTTCATCCTACGTTTGATCATTGTGGTCCGCGTATTCTCGCTGTGTCTTTCGGTTGTTCATTTATTCCTGAATAAAATTGTTCAGTATTATTACGCTGTAATGTGCAGGGATTTACCATCAAGCTGAATGCTAGGAACACCTCAAGATAGACATCGAACTAGCTCATCCTGAGTCATTCAACTCTACAACAAATTGAGCATAAAATTCCACCATAAGCCGCCAACATCGGTAACTAAGTCCGTAGCATGGGCAATGGATCCTCATGATTTGTCAGAAGCCCAAACCGAACTGCCGTGTCCGTTCAACTTTTCTCAAAAATAAAAACCTTCTGATTCTGTGGCAGAGATTTGTGTCAAAAATACTGAAACACCTCAAAACAAGCATCGATCAAATTGGGTAATTGATCACAAATGGAGCTTCTTCCATTGTAAGCCTCTAACTTAGACTTGGTTTTCGCATTATCTTGGAAAAGTTAGATCTTCATGCCTTGTCTTAACTTAAATTTATAACACGTGATAAAAACGGTTAGTTTTGAAAAACCCAGTTCGTTTTATGCAGTTACTATAGTTAGACCAGCATCCGAGATTAACATCGATCTGTTGTTCAGTGGTGATTATGATGAATTTCTCCAGAGTGTAAGGCAAAATTCGTACGCTTATATTACTGGATTATCAGCCGAAATTTGGGGATCGAAGCCCTCTAAAAGCCACCATATTGAAAAACTAAGAAGTACGGAATATCAATGTTTAGATATTCAGGTCAATGTAAGCCGCTAACTTAGAATACTTGGTTTTCGGATTATCTTAGAAAAGTTAGATCTTCAAGCCTTGCCAAACGGAGATGTCTACTTAAATTTATAACACTTGATAAAAATGGTTAGTTTTGAAAAACCCAGTTCGTTTTAAACAGTGGCTTAAAGTTTGATAGAACTATGAATGAGTTTGCTTCAAGATTGTTTGTTGGTCTATTGACTATTTTTGACGAATGCTTGAGGCTATTTTCATAAAAATGCTGTAATTGGTTGTCTGTGCTGGTTGTGCAGTAGTAGGTTTTGGAAACAATACTTTACTACTTTACTATAGTTAGCACCAGCATCCAAGATTAACATCGTTGTTCAGTGATTGATTATGATGAATTTCTCCAGAGTGTAAGGCAAAATTCGTACGGTATATTCCTGTATTATCGATCAAAATTTGGGCATAGAATCCCTCTAAAAGCCACCATATTGAAAAACTAGAGGTTCGGAATATCAATGGTTAGATATTCAGGATTTGTCAGAATCAAATTTGCTTCAAAAACCAAATGATGAAGCCACGAAATGTGGAGATCATTTCTAAATTTTTTTATCATCTGTAAACATAGAAAACCTACTGACCGCTCTAGTCATTCAACTCTACAACAAATTGAGCTTAGAAATCCACCATAAGCCGCCAACATCGGTAACTAAGTCCGCAGCATGGGCAATGGTTGGATCCTCATGATTTGCCAGATGCCCACACCGAACGGCGGTGTCCGTTCAACTTTTCTCCAAAATAAAAACCTTCTGATTCTGTGGCAGAGTTGGATAGGCCATAATCAATCTATCTAATAAGACAAATCAATCAAGACAGCACATCGCTAACATTGACTCTCTTTTCTTACTACCCTAAAGTTGCCCTTGCTTTTCTTAAAAACAGCAGGAGTGGCACTGTGATATCAATGGATAAAAATGGTTACTAAACATATTGAAACGCCACTGGGTAACTTATTGGGCCTGTCTATACTCGCGGATACTTGATGTTACTCAAACGAGTTTCGTCTTTACGCAATCTTCAGTGAGGAACTTGGTTGGACTTCTATTCTGAAGGTAAAATTTAGGTAAATACTTTATAGTGAATGTTTTTACGCAGAAGGACTTTCCCTTGTTTCTTATGTTATATTCTCGCCTTTTGTTGTTTTTGAGGCAAAATTTTTTTTAAAATTGTGTAATATTTAATGACCTTTAACATCTAGCTAAAACTGCTCAAAACATGAAAGGATAAATAAAAAATACAATACTTTTCTGTAGTATTAATACTACTTTAATAAACCAATTTTACTTGATTAAGTTTATATTTGTTAAACTTAGAATTATCTCGTCTAGAACGAATAGCGAAAACGGGCGTACCGAAAGCCAACAAATCTCATGTTTTTTATACACAAATATATTTTTATATACAAATATACATATTTATTATATTATTATATATATTTCACATATATATACAAATTAGACATATTGATCAATTTGATGTTGTAATGAAACTATTTGTAGCATGGGTATTTTTTTAAGTAATCGATTGAGCATTACCGGTAGTGCACATGGGTCGGTTAGGTCAGGGAATGGTTCGGTTTGGTTAGGTTAGGATTAGTGTTGGATTAAGGGTTAGGGTAGATTAGAAACTGGTCAGGGTTAGGGCTTGATTGCACAAACGTAGTTAATAATAACTAAGCCTGAGTTGATACTTAGGAACCACTCCTACGGTTTTCAAGAAAAATCTTCTCATATACCGACATTAGGGATATAAGCAGGGAGAGTCAACGCGAGCGATGTACTGAAGCGTTGTCTTCTAGAATTGGATTTTTCATCATAACGCCTATTTTGTTTTTAAAACTTCATATAGTATATTAACTTAATTTGATTTAAAGTCTATTAGTTGAATTTTAAGATTCCCTCTTGAGGACTGTGGGGTGAAGAACTTTTAATTTAATCGTACTCGGTCAATAAACCGACAGACGTGCATAATAATCGATACACTGCTTCCACATTTTCACTAACATTTTAAAATTGACTGGGCAGAAATCGCACAAAACAATTACTGAAGATAGCGAGATGCTGGTTTGGCAAAAAGAGCGAGGATAGTCGTTCACCCAGCAGGCATCAAAACTAAACCTCATCATTTAATCTTATGCTGAAATAACTTTTGCTTCTGATTACCATTTAATTTTTATTTTTATGTAGCATTGTTAAAACTTTAGAAGCCATGTTTTAGTAAAGATGAGGCGTTTTTTAATCAATCCTTTTTCTTATTTGCACCCGTGCGCGGATATTACGAAATTTTCTTTCTGTTAGAAAATTTTCATCAGCAATTATTTAATGGATTTGCAATTACTCCTCGGCCTTTTAATCCCAGTGGACGAGACAATCGCAGAGGCGGTAAATGTCCGGCCGATGAGATCGTGACCACTGGCGGTGAAAGCGAAGTTGCTAGATCTAATTAGGGTAGATATGTTATTACCAGAAGACCTGCAAGCAATCGCTTGCTACTACGAAAGGTCCCTGATTGGGAAAGATCGTTATTCAACGCTTCTCACGACCTGAATACGCGTCGAAAACACGCTCATCGGTTCAAAAAATGGACAATTTCTCAATTTATTCTCAATAGGGTCAGTTTTTATAAATCCTATGCTAATAGCTGTCGAATCTTAACGATACTTAGACTCTTCGTGAAGTGCATATCATATATACATACATGTGTGTGTGTGTGTGTGTATGAAAAAAATGAATTGTTTAATTATAAAATTAAGCCGTAGCAAAATAATGGAAAAATATGTAAACCACACATAATAAACAAAGGATTTCTTTGCTTTCGGTCCGCCCTTTCTGGCCCTTCGTTTGAGCTAGATAACAAATAATAAATGATAAAATTCATGGAAAATTAGTCTGTTCAAAAATGTCTACAATCGTCCTTTTGCCTATTATTCATAAATATGAGTAAATTGAAGTACTATTAGCAGTTTT